CGTCGATTTTGCTGGTGAAACACCCGACGGGTTTGGAGCGGCCGTTTTTCCCTGACGGCCACTGGACAAGCGTCCGGAAGGCGCCAAATGCGTGATTCCAGTTTTCAGAAACGTTGTCCCAGCTTGCACCAAAGGAAGTTCTGAGAATCCGGAGAGGCCGCCCATTTGTTGGAACTCATTCAGGGCCTAAAACAAATATGCCCCTGGTTGATACAGTGTGGCTCACTTGCTTTCAATGCATGAGGCACATTCGGCTAGCGCAGGCGTGTCCAATTCATGGCGTGCGTTCGTTTGCTAGATGGCACGGATGTGATGACAACGGAGGAGTATTCCGTCTGGCGGGACGAGCTCCGCGGAAATGAAGATGGGGAATGCTTCTTCGATGCGTTACGGCGCCATTTGGCGAAGAGCTTCCTGGTTACCTATTGGTGCCCGATTTTCCTGCTTTGCCAGATTAAGTTCCTGCTTTTTCTCCACGTTCAGTGGTAACCGGCTTCCTTCTTTGGGCGTATTCATTGAGGATCAACCAACTCAACCACATGCATGTTAGTTGTGTCTGTGTGTGGGCGCGGTTTTCCTATGGACACTGGCCAAGCAAGGATTGCTCTTGCGGAATTTCAGGCAGCTCGCGTTGGCTAGTGGCATAGGCAAGTTGGGGCCAGAGAGTCCGTGGGATAATGCTGAGTGCCTGACAGCCGTTGTACGGCAATATGTTCCGGCAGTCACAGGTGAAGCAGAGGGTTTGGCAAATGGTGTTGACCTGCTGCAAGGGGCGGAAAGGGGCGATGCACAACTTGTGCTAGAGCTGTTGGAGAAGCCTCATGATCCCAATGCTTCTGACACAAACAGACGAAAGACGCCTTTGCATAATGCTTCTGCAAACGGCCATCTGGTAGTTGTGCAGTACTTGCTGGATGCCGGTGCTGACAAAGAGAGGGCGGGCAACAATGGCTGCACACCATTACATCTAGCTGCTTGGCAGGGCCATCATGCAGTTGTGCAGTGCTTGCTGGAATCCGGTGCTGACAAAGAGAAGGCTGCCAACGATGGTGTCACACCATTGTATGTTGCTGCGCAGAGGGGCCATGTTGCAGTTTTGCAGTGCTTGCTGGATGCCGGTGCTGACAAAGAGAAGGCGGCCAATGATGGCGCCACACCATTGCATCTAGCTGCTGGGCAGGGCCATCATGCAGTTGTGCAGTGCTTGCTGGTTGCCGGTGCTGACCAGGAGAAGGCGGGCAACAATGGCTGCACACCATTACATCTAGCTGCTTGGCGGGGCCATCAGGCAGTTGTGCAGTGCTTGCTGGATGCTGGTGCTGACAAAGAGAAGGCTAGCAGCGGTGGTGCCACACCATTGCATATTGCTGCATACCACGGCCATCAGGGAGTTGCGCAGTGCTTGCTGGTTGCCGGTGCTGACAAAGAGAAGGCTGGCAACGGTGGCGCCACACCATTGTATTGTGCTGCAAAGATGGGCCATCACGCAGTTGTGCAGTGCTTGCTGCATGCCGATGCTGACACAGAGAAAGCGACCACCGAGGGCTTCACACCATTGCATATTGCTGCACAGAACGGCCATCAGGTAATTGTGAAGTGTTTACTGGATGCCGGTGCTGACCAGGAGAAGGCGGCCAACGAGGGCGCCACACCATTGCATTTGGCTGCTGGGAACGGCCACTGGGCAGTGGAACAGTGCTTGCTGGATGCCCTTGCTACTAACTGAAGGTGATCAGCATGAGCGCGCGGTTTGCGTTTAGCCGGGTTATGATTGTTAAACTTGCTGCGTGGTTGCAAAAAGTGCATTTGTGCTTCTTTGACCGTTTCTTTTTGAGTTGCCAAACCAGAGGAGTATTGTTGACCCCGGATTTATAAACCCTTCCGATGATTTGCGGGGTGCTCCCTCCAAAAGTGGTCTGACCCCCGATCAAAATCAACCAGGGGTTTGCGTTTGGGGTTGTCTTTGCCTTGAGCGTTGCGTTGGTGGCTCGGTTGGGGTCATTACGAAGCTTCCCTGTGGAACCAGCAGGTTTAATCTGGGCAGGCCAGCGATGGACTTGCAATAAGGATGTCCTTGGTTGGGTTTATCAAAGCAGCCCTTCCTTTAGCCAGACGGTAGTGGTTTCCCTTGTTGTGGTTTCCCACACTTCATTTCCAGATCCTCAAGCTGGCTCAAAAAGTAACCTGGATTCCCTCCAAACTGGGACATGCCTCCTTTCCATCCGTGCCTTCTGCTCTACTAGGGCTCATGGTAAGGTAGACAAGTCACTCGAATTACCAGGAGATATAAGAGAATGTCGGGATGCGCCCTGACAACATCCCACGTGCTTCCTTTCCGGCCAATCTGGTTGCATCAAGCAAGGGGAATCTTGCAACGGGTGCCTCATGCAAACCTGGGGCTGGGAGGCTTGAAGGGAACACAGCCGTTTCGCGTCGATTTTGCTGGTGAAACACCCGACGGGTTTGGAGCGGCCGTTTTTCCCTGACGGCCACTGGACAAGCGTCCGGAAGGCGCCAAATGCGTGATTCCAGTTTTCAGAAACGTTGTCCCAGCTTGCACCAAAGGAAGTTCTGAGAATCCGGAGAGGCCGCCCATTTGTTGGAACTCATTCAGGGCCTAAAACAAATAAGCCCCTGGTTCATACAGTCTGGCTCACTTGCTTTCAATGCATGAGGCACATTCGGCTAGCGCAGGCGTGTCCAATTCATGGCGTGCGTTCGTTTGCTAGATGGCACGGATGTGATGACAACGGAGGAGTATTCCGTCTGGCGGGACGAGCTCCGCGGAAATGAAGATGGGGAATGCTTCTTCGATGCGTTACGGCGCCATTTGGCGAAGAGCTTCCTGGTTACCTATTGGTGCCCGATTTTCCTGCTTTGCCAGATTAAGTTCCTGCTTTTTCTCCACGGTCATTGGTAACCGGCTTCCTTCTTTGGGCGTATTCATTGAGGATCCACCAACTCTTAGTTGTGTCTGTGTGTGGGCGGGGTTTTCCTATGGCACTGGCCAAGCAAGGATTGCTCTTGCGGAATTTCAGGCAGCTCGCGTTGGCCAGTGGCATAGGCAAGTTGGGGCCAGAGAGTCCGTGGGATAATGCTGAGTGCCTGACCGCCGTTGTACGGCAATATGTTGGTGAAGCAGAGGAGTTGGCAAATGGTGTGGACTTGCTGCAAGGGGCGGAAAGGGGCGATGCACAACTTGTGCTAGAGCTGTTGGAGAAGCCTCATGATCCCAATGCTTCTGACACAAACAGACGGAAGACGCCTTTGCATAATGCTTCTGCAAACGGCCATTTGGTAGTTGTGCAGTACTTGCTGGATGCCGGTGCTGACACAGAGAAGCCGGCCAATCATGGCGCCACACCATTGCAGTTTGCTGCATGCAAGGGCCATCAGGCAGTTGTGCAGTGCTTGCTGGGTGCCGGTGCTGACAAAGAGAAGGCGGGCAACAATGGCGCCACACCATTGCAGATAGCTGCTGGGCAGGGCCATCAGGCAGTTGTGCAGTGCTTGCTGGATGCCGGTGCTGACAAAGAGAAGCCGGCCAATGATGGCGCCACACCATTGCATCTAGCTGCTGGGCATGGCCGTCACGCAGTTGTGCAGTGCTTGCTGGATGCTGGTGCTGACAAAGATAAGGCGGCCAAAAGGGGCGTCACACCTTTGTATTGTGCTGCAAAGATGGGCCATCACGCAGTTGCGCAGTGCTTGCTGCATGCCGATGCTGACACAGAGAAAGCGACCACCGAGGGCTTCACACCATTGCATATTGCTGCACAGAACGGAGATCAGGCAATTGTGAAGTGCTTGCTGGTTGCAGGTGCTGACAAAGAGAACGCTGGCAACGGTGGTGCCACACCATTGTATTGTGCTGCAAAGATGGGCCATCACGCAGTTGTGCAGTGCTTGCTGCATGCCGATGCTGACACAAAGAAAGCGACCACCGAGGGCTTCACACCATTGCATATTGCTGCACAGAACGGCCATCAGACAATTGTGAAGTGTTTACTGGATGCCGGTGCTGACCAGGAAAAGACGGCCAACGAGGGCGCCACACCATTGCATTTGGCTGCTGCTCTGCACACCATGTAGCTGCTCTGCAGGGCCATCGCGCAGTTGTGCAGTGCTTGCTGGATGCCGGTGCTGACACAGAGAAGCCGGCCAATGATGGCGCCACACCATTGCATCTGGCTGCTGGGCATGGCCATCACGCAGTTGTGCGGTGCTTGCTGGATGCTGGTGCTGACAAAGATAAGGCGGCCAAAGCGGGCATGTAGCTGCTCTGCAGGGTCATCACGCAGTTGTGCAGTGCTTGCTCGATGCCGGTGCTGACACAGGGAAGGCGGCCAACGAGGGCTTCACACCATTGCATATTGCTGCACAGAACGGCCATCAGACAATTGTGAAGTGCTTACTGGATGCCGTTGCTGACCAAGAGAAGGCGGCCAACGAGGGCGCCACACCATTGCATTTGGCTGCTGGGAACGGCCACTGGGCAGTGGAACAGTGCTTGCTGGATGCCCTTGCTACTAACTGAAGGTGATCAGCATGAGCGCGCGGTTTGCTGCTTAGCCGGGTTATGTTTTTTAAGCTTGCTGCGACGCCGAAGAGAAACATTTGTGCTCCTTTGGCCGTTCCTTTTGAGAGTTGCCAAACCAGACAAGTAATGTTTCCGCCGGATTTCCTATGGAACCACCAGGTTTAATCTGGGCGGGCCAGCGATGGACTTGCAATAGGGATGTCATTGGTCGGGAGACGATGGTGGTTTCCCTTGTTGTGGTTTGCCACTATGAATTTGACCTAGGATTATCAGTTCTCGAGACAGAATAACTTCATTTCCAGATCCTCTTAGCGTCTTAAGACCTCGAATTCCTCAAGCTGGCTCAAAAAGTGACCCGGATTCCATCCAAAGTGGGACATGCCTCCTTTCCATCCATGCCTTCTGCTCAACTGGGTTCACAATGGTCGAAAGGCAAGAATTCTCCGCATTCGAAGCGCAGGAGAGGTTGGAAAACCTGACCAAGGAGGAGGCGCAGTCCCGAATGCAATGCAACGCCGCAAAAGGGGGGCTCAAAGAAAACGCTGCCATACTTATCTTAGCTTTGTAGACATTGCCAGACTTGGTTAGCAAGCGACGAACACTTTGTGGGGCTTTCAGTTTGGCCACACAAATAATCGACCATTTGTTTCTTTGGGGGGGGGAATACCTCTCTTAAATTGGGAGCCTCTGAGTGGTCAATTGCCCCGTATTCAGTGTTCTTGGTCTGTGTGTGTGTGTGTCTTTTCCTTGAGGCCACCCTTTTCAGGTTGGTTTGAAGGAAAGCCAAGATATTGGGGTCCCCCTGTTTCTCAACGTTCCTCCGCTGCAGCGTCCTTAGTTCTGTTGTCATCCATTTGCTGAAAGGAATAGTTTTTTTTGTTCCTTTGCTGGTTTTAAAGGGAATCTATCGCTACTAGAAATATTTTTGTCCAGGGGGCTTAAGCAAATGGAAGTTGTTGGTTCGGTTAAGTTGCGAAGAGCGTTCCGCCTGGTTCTTCCCTTTGAACCGGGAGGGTCACTCGATGTTCACACATGGGCTTCAATCAGGTTAGGTCCAGCGGTGTGGATGAATCAACTTGTTTGAAAGATAACTAACCCATATCAGACTTAACATGTTTCCTTGTGCCCTGATTGGCATGGGACCCTGAAAGGGTTACCCTCAAGAGATTCCTCTACCAATTGTCACACAAGCATTGCAGGAGTTGTCCCATGCATAGCAATCGCAATCCTGGGGGGCTGAGTGTGCGCGGAAACAGCGGAGTTGGGAGTTTCCTCAGGCCTGCTTTCACTGTGCACCATCAGGCGCTTTCAATCCTTGCCCAGAATTCGTTCCCTCTTTTTCTTTGGTTTTTCTTTTTTGGGGTTCCCTTTGCTTTCCACTACCGGGCAAAGAATATCATTTTTTGCTGGGGTCCTAATTCCAGCCAAGAATCACGATCTATCATTGTGGGTAAAGGGCAACCTGACTGAATGGCATCAGCTAATTACTAACCAATTTGGACAAGTTGCTGGATTTAGAATGGTGGAGCAGCCTCTCTTTTTTTCACTCCCTCTGGCTCTGATGGAAACATCCCTTCGAAGCAGGTTACCCCCGAGCAATGGGCTTGGAAAGGGGACATAGGTTCCTGGACGATTCACTCATCGATTTCCGTTTCACAACTAGAAGAGAGGCTTTGTTTCAAGTCGGACACCCCGATGAGCAGCGAGGCTTGGATTTATGGCTTGCCTCAAAGCCTGAAGACGGCGTACAAGCGGCTCCTTGTCCAATCTCTGATTGGAGAAACCCTATAATCGATTCAATTGGACACATGATTGTTCGCCCAATAAGAAGAGTACAGTCTCTCGTACTGTCTTTCCAACCATAACAGTATACAGAGAGCCTGAGGGCGACGTGATCTTAGTCATTCCATTGCAGGATCTGTTGGAGGTTTGTTGTTCATTGGAAGGTCATTTTTTGACTGACCCTTGTGTATTTCAACATCACCTTGGGTATTGAGTTTGAGGCCGTCGTCTAATTATGTTTTCAGGGAAGATAATAAGGAATCCGTGCTTTGAGTGCAGACCCCAAAAACGGACGCCGTGTCCTTTGGCGTGTTTCAATGTTCGTTGGAACCACGCATTCTCCAGCCAAAGACACTATTTTTGTTGGGAGGGGTACCCATTGGGTGAAAAAATCACCTTCTTGCCAACTTACGGAGTTTTCTTCTCATTCAGGATAAGCTGGAGGAAGTGCGCAAGCACAAGGACATCATCCACCACGCCGCCTCCTTGGACACCAAGGAGGCGCCAGCCGTTGCTCCCACCTGGAGTGGTGGAAGATCCGTTTTCCCGTTTCCTAACCTGTCAGGTGCCATTGAAGGGTAATGCTTACCTGTTCCAGTGCCGAACCCGGAAATCCCCCTGAAAGGATGCGAATTTTGGACAGGTTTAATATCACACTGGTTATTTTCGGAGGATGTCAGGAACCCCCCGGCTGTATAACTGACCTCTTTTGCCTTTTGCTTCCCCAGCGAACAGTTCTGCGCTTTCGGATATCTGCATGTTTCGATTTTGGTGTCGGAATTGTTTTTGGGAGTAACCCTCTTGGATGGAATCAAAGAAAGCTAATTGCAGCAACTTGGAACCTTTTTTGATGGACACACATGCATACCTTCGCTCTTCCCAGCCATACCCAGAAAGACTTTCAGTTTGTTTTTAGATTGAGTGAGTTAGGAGTGCCCCATTCACATGGCAAGTCACCGAAGTCGAGGATTGAGATATCAAGATATCCCTCAAGTTTAGGCTTCAGGGTCAGTTGGCGTGCACTTTGGCTTGTCTCTTTGGCGAATGTTGGCTGCAAGCCACGTGAGATGACCCATGTAAATCAAGCCCAACTAGTTGGGGCGAGTTGGCTTCACCAAAAGTTCCCTCTAAAGTGGTTTCAGGCTCCATCTTAATCAGCGGCGATCCCTGAACCCAGAGGCCCAGTGTTCTTGAGCTGCGATTTCAATTTGGACTCTTACAGACTGCCCAGTAGCACTATGTGTTTTTTCTTTTTCGGGGGTTCCCTTCAAAATCAATCAGCATTTAGTTGGGAAGGGTAAGAAGGGTGTGTTTTCTGCATGGCGACTGGCCAGCTGCGCTTGCATTGGATAACTCGCAAGAACATCCAATCATCCAATCAACTCGAATCCGGCAATGGAATCCCGAACGGCTTTGCAGGCGAAGAACTTTATCAAGCTACTGCTGAAGGACTGTGTGTGTGTGTGTTGTTAGTCGCTTTTGGTTGTTTGTTTGTTGCGATTTGCTGTTGGTTTGGGTGGTCCGTTTGGGTGGCTTGGCTCGTGTTTTACTTGTCTTTCTCGTTGTTGACGTATTCTTGGCGCTTGTATCTCTGTTGCCTTGCTGTTTGCGCCGTGTGTGTTCCCTGGGTGTTGAATTGGAGGGCTTCCACGGTCCAGATCCGGTCCCGCGCGCCAAGCAATTTCTGGGCAAGCCAAGTTGCAAAGAAAGCGCCACCACCTCACCGCACATCCAAGCCGTTTTTTTTCGCGCACCCCCAGAGAAAGGCACTTCAAAATGAAGTTCGGTGGAAGTCCAAGTACGACAAGGCCGATCACGTTTTATTGGCCCAGGCATGCCCATGCAGGTACCCGCATGGCCGCCTCTTGCCGCATTGCTTATCTCCGATGTCTCTCGTTGAATTCTTGGCATCGGCTCCGCTCGGGTGAATCGGTCAGGACCAGCCGGAGCAGGTGAAGACGAAGGACGCGGCGGGGAACACGGCGCTCCACATGGCGGCGCGCTGCGACAACTTGGAGGCGAGAGAAGTTTGGGGCGAGTCCAGGGCTCGATGTTCCCGGTCAAGAGGATACTTTTTGGGCTTCCTTTCGATTTTCCTTTTGGTGCTTCTTTTGGTTGCTTCTCCTTTCTTTTTGCTTTCCCGTGAAAAGGTTGTAAGATGGCCTTGTGGTCGGGACATGTTGGGACTATCCTAGCAAGAGAGTGTGGACTGCCTGGCAACGGGTATGTGAATTTGCCCAATGAAGCACTGGTGCCCGGCTTCGTGCGGCCGAAACCGGTTGCTCCCGAGGTGGTGAGGCTCCTGTGCACGGAGTACAAGGTGAACCGAGAGGACGGGCGAGAGTTCCCGGCCATATGCCTAGGTCTTTCGAGTAGAGTTTAGAGGAACTCCAGTGGTGCCAGCTGTGCTCGCGTTGAAAAACATATTTTACATATTTTTAGGGGGATGGCTTTCCCTTGCAACAGGAGGTTTCCCAACTGTTTGCGTGGTGTGGTCTGTGTTTGTGTTGTGTTGTCTGGTGCCGTGATGAAATGTGGGTCTGTCTCAAAATAAGGGAAGCTACAAAAAGATCCCGTGTGTTGTATGCTGCGAAAAGCCATTCCCCAATATGCATCCCCAATGCCCCTAGTCCTTGCCCACCCAGTCCCATGCCTCAAACTACTTGCTATCCGGTTTGTTCCTTAAAGATCCCGAAAAAAATGGCATCCTTCTGGATCAGTAATTGACCAGTTTCAACTGTTTAAGTGTTTGTGTTGTTTAGTCAAAGGTATCAATCCAGCAAGCTTCTTGGTTGACTTCTTGTTTTGAAAATGCCGCATTGGCCCTTCGACGTACCCCGTCAGGGGTCTCGTACCGGGTAAGCATGTTGCTTATTCCTTTCTGTACGACCCCTTTGTTGGGATCTGTATATTATATATAAACAACACGCGACAAGAAGACTACCTATTTGAAGACTGGTTGTTCTGAGAGACCAAGGCAAACACTAGCATTTGGGCATTTTCTATTTGAAGGCACAGCTGTATGCTCTCATCGGCTCGTTGTTTTTTTGTCAGGAGAAAAACATGAACCAGGAGCGCCCCCTCCACACGGCGGCCAGACACCAAAGCTACAAGACCATGGAGTGGCTTTACTGAATCCAGTTGTCCCAGACCACCGTTGCCCGAAAGTCCTCAAAAGCATCATGTGGCGCACAATGGGTAGCTTGTTTGCCTTGGCAACTGGATGGATTTCCTCAAGTTGTCCGTGTTCTTTTTAGAAAATGGATCTATAGTGAATTGATTTGGACAATGGTGGACAATGGTACTAGGGAAGACGACTTAGCTCATGACAGACAATTGAGATACATCATGGATTGACTTGAGTGGAAGCCCACGATATAAGGGCCGCCTGGTTGATTTGCTTCTCGTGAGGATCCTTCACTTGGGTGGAACCACCCACACATTGATCCGGATGAAACTGCCAGGGACAACAGCATTGGGCTGCTCGGGGTTCTTCGGGGCCCACTTTGGTGATGCCTTTCACAACCAAACGGACTTCTTCCCCGCATTCCCGACAGCGCTCGCAATCAACCAGCCATTGGGGAGCCGTCCTCGACCTTTCTTGGACGACCCATGGGAATCCCAGTTGAAATCTTTGCTTTGGGAAATGTTGGTGTTGCAAATCATGGGCCCTTTCATCCCTGAACATGCTTGGTATCGCTTCAAGGGTTTGTTTTTTTTACAAGCCTTTGGTGCGGGAACAGGCATTGGCCTGACAAATGGTCAGGATCATAGGCCTCAGATATTATGCATTTTTTCCATGGCGATTTTGTTGTGAAGAAAATCGCCGGTTTGTTGCCACAGACATTTGGCCATGGGTCAAAATCCAAATCGTACCCCCAGTGAACATCCCAATCCCCACTAAAATAGACTAAAATGGGTGGTGCACCTACTCCAAAATGGTACCGTTGCTTTTGAACCACAGCCGTTTGTTACATGTGGCCCTGAGTCCGAAATTCAACTTGAAAGTGAGATGCGCAAAGGAGTCAGCCCATGGTACTGATTTCCGGACCCGGCCGTGCATCCCCATTCTCCACCCCCCCAAGCCTGCCGGATGTGCAGTCTCCGAAACAGTCTGACCTCTAGGTTGCAAGTGCCCCATGTTTCAATTCGTGAGACGTGTAAAATGAAGCCTCTTTGGGGCCGGCAAATGACGAGTTCCTTGACCACTGACGTTTCAAGGGCGAAGTTCCACAAGAAGACTTTGTTTCGGGTGGCAAGTGCCATTTCAGGCAAGTGACCTTTACCTTTTTTTGTGTGTTGCGAAGTTCCACAAGGGGAAGATTTTGTTTCCGGGTCCTGGCAAGTGACAACCACCCAATCGATCCCAATCGGTTTGCTTGGGTTTGCTTTGGACCTGGATGTAGAGTTTCTCGTTCAATATGGTTTGAGGGAAACTTGGATGAGACCTGTTTCAGGAGTTCATTGAGATGAACCCGTGCGCTGCGGCCTGAGGTACCTGCTCAACTCCTCAGTGCAGCCAGTGCCGCCAAATATGCGCAAGGACCTTCGAACGCCCGGCGTTTGTGCGTAAGCTATTCGCCATAGTATATCGCCCTTTTGCTGATGAGCAACCTTTCTGCCCTTTGCCTCTTTGGGTTTTCTTCGTTTGCCTTTTTGTAGCTGGTTTTCTCAAGTCTGTCCAGTGCCTGTGACCAGGCTTAGACACAAGATTGAAAGGAACGGGCGCTGGCCAGGCGCGGCTGCAGTTTCACAGTTGGTGGCAGTCTGGGCGCGCTTGCGTGTTTGGCGACTGAGGCAATCTGTGTGCGCCACATCCAACGCTATCCGGGGCTTGACCAACGAGCTTCATGTCGTGGGAGCTTCACATGGTACATTTTCTGTACAGCGGGCGCCATGCCCGCTCCAGCGATCTTGTTCAAGCCTTGCTCCTGGGTGTTTGGTTGTTTTTGGAGAAGCCCAATCCAGTTTGCACCATTCGCGCTCCGCGCGGGCAAGTGCACCCTGGACCCTCCGAATGCGTCAAATGATCAAATGATCAACATTTTAAATGGGTGCACATGTTCGCAGGAGACGCCGCTGCATTTGTTGGCGAAGAACGTGCCCAGCAGGCTTGCATGCAGCAAATGAGAGCCAGTGCTTGTTGTTGAGTCTAGGGCCCGCCGCCAGGCTCCCCCGATTCAGCAGAACCAGTTGTGGATGTGTGTGTGTGTGTTGTTTTGGGGTAGCTTGTTCGGTTTGGCCTTGAAGGGGCACCAAAGGGAGGCATATGTTTAATGTCCCCCTCCCTCCGTTTTGAGACAGACGTTATATTGTCCATGTCCACCATGGCAACTGCAAATTGCAAACCCCCTCATGTGTGCCAACATCCAGAATCAATCAGCAAACTGGAGGTCAGGGGGTCATTCTTGGGCCACAATATCGAGTGTACTGTCATGCTCCCTAGTTCAATTGCCCCCTGTTTCAGGCTATGATGTCAATCCCCCAACACATACCCTGTTTTCCACTGAAGACCCGGTACTTAGAGGCAGGGGTCGGGGCAGGCCGCCTCTTCGATCATGGGACTGTTGGTTCGGGCAACCCAGATTTCCACAAGAACCGGCCGCGAACTTCTCCGTCCTCTTGGGGAAAACGGCGATTTGGTCCCGGGCTGATGTGTGTCCTCGCATGGCCACACCGCTGCTTCGCAGGCGATTTTGGTTTCCACTATAGTTGGTATAGCCAGCCATTTCCCCTTCAGCTTTCAAGGGTGATTTGTTTGGTTTCCCCTTTACCCACATCCGGGATGTCTGCAAAAACTACTTTCCTCCCTGTTGCACGTGGGGTTGGAGGAGGCCCGTTTTTTCTTGCTGGTGCTCAGTATAGGGCATGACCCGGAATGAATTAACCGGAAGGGGATTTCCTGACAGGAAGCCACGCGGGATATAGGGGTCGTTCCCTCTGAGCACCAAGCTTTGACCCATATGCCTTTCTTTGGAGGCCCTCGCCGGACCCGGAACAAGAGAAGGCATTCAAGTCGGTGATGGACATTCTCATCGACAAGGCGCCGATGTCCTGGACGGCGTCGTGTTTTTTTTGGGGCTGGCTTGTTTACAGGGACACCGCGAAGAAAGTGGCCCTTTTGTTGGATGCAGGATAGTTTGGGACAAATCTAACGGCATGCTCAGTTCCAGGGAAAGTTCGCCATGCTTTCACGGAAAACGCCGGAGTATGGAAAAGGCCGATGATGCAACAGAATGGGGAAGCAACCCCTACAGCAGTGTTCGATAGTCCTTTGGTCCTTTGGGGTTGGGACATGGGGACTCCCAAAATGTCAACCGCCTTACTTTTATTTTGTCATTTGCTTTCGGGTAACCGTATGTGTTTTTTTTTGTTTTGTGAAGGGAAAAACACAATCCCGGGTTGTTCAATGCAGTATCATTTCAGCTGCCTCAAACTTCAACAGATGAAAAGGCCACCGCAAAAACGCTTGAAGTGGGAAGTCTTTAGAGCATCAAACCCGGAAATCAAAGGAACACCTAATGCAATTTCAGGCTGTTCGTGTTTTTAATGATCGTGTTGATGTTTCGGCAGCGGTCCATGCCTAGCCAAACCGGTGCCTGTTCGGCGCTTTGTTCGATGACTTCAAATGGCTATGTTTTCTGCAATGGGGAACACTTGAACAGTGGTGGAAAAAAAATCCCCAGCGATGTCTGTTGTCCATTTCGGGTCCCTAAATAAAAAAATCCTACTCACACCTGTTGCCGCGGCGTTGCGCATCGTCGGCTTGAGAAACTCAGCCATCAGAGCCTCGGGCTTGGAGCCAACTGGATTGGTCGCAGACCCCAAGTTGAGACGAACCATGTTTGTGTTTGCCTTGGGAGGGTACCTGTTTGGGTGTTTCAAGAGAAACCAAACGGGCCCCCCACAAACACACACACACACACGTGGTTGTCTCCCAACAGCTGTGGAGTAGAAACGCTTCATGGTTTTTGTTCCGTTTAGATTCGATCTTTAACTTCACGGGTGCTCTTACCGCCTTTTGCGGTGCATTCAGTCAGCTGACTCACCAGGGGTGAAACTGGGTGGACCTTGTTTGAAGAGAACGCTTCTTTGACACTTAATAGAGAACAAAGGTTGAATTGGTGGATTGATTTGGACGCCTTTTTGAAACTGCATGGGAAAGTTCAGCTTCTGCTCGAGAATCTGTCGCCCAGTTTCTCAGTGGCAATCATGTTTCTCAGTGGCAATCATAGAATGGGCCATTGAGCACAACAGATTCCTTGCACACTGGGGTCTGCGTGTGTTGTGGGTACCGGTTGCCTTTCTTGCTTCTGTTGTTTTAAAACATATTTGTGGTTTTAGCTGAACGCCACCAGGAAAGCCATCATTTTAGTTATTGTTTTATTTTGTTGTTATTTTTAAAGCTTATTTGTTTATTTTATGTTTTGTTTTGTTTGTTTAATATGTTTATTTTTTTTGTTTTGTTGTTTTTGGGGGGGAGGGGCGGGTCTCCAGAAAACACACAGACCCAGTTAGTAAAGAGTTCTAGCCTTGGCGCTTATAGCAAGGCCAGTACCATGATGGTAGAACCAACAGTCAGCGGCCTGAAAATGGCTTGTTTGGACTGGGCGCTGCCCATTTACTTTGTGGGGACCTTGCGCGCTTCTTGTCAGTGCTTCCATATAGGCATAGGAAGCCACCCATGGTCAACACTAGAGGCAACACAATTCCTGATTGCCTAGCGTAGTGGCAACTGGAAGCGCGGGGTGTCAGGCTATGTGGTTGATAACCCTGGTTGCAACCCTGAAAGGGGGCTTATAAGAGGTGTCAATCGGGATATGACTGGGGTGAAGCATTCACTCAACCCCCCTTAAAGTCGGCTGTGTGCTGAATAGCACATGGCTTCACTTCCCCGGATCCCAAAAGGAAATGTATAAGTCTTGAATTCGCCCAGTCCCCTAGCACCTAGCACCCAAATCCCGCGATCCTATGTTCTCACGCAGGTGGTGGATGAGAAGGGTCACGCCAGCTTTGCGAAGCCGGATTGCCACCCGGCCGGAAACCACAGGCTTGCCCATGTTTCCTCTTTGGTTCAATCACCACCTTTTGGGCCAGAACATGATTCCTTTGGTGGGGTGATGTTTAGAGATGAACATAGGGAAACTTGTTCCAACCTTTTCCGTGCCCTGGAGGGCGATAAACAGGGGCGCATCTCAGCTGGGGCGTTCGAGATAGGTGGTGGCAGGCTTGTTTAGCTGGCCGAAAGAGCGTCCTGCGCTTTTTAACGCACACAGGCATACTTGGTATATGTCCTGCGGTTGTCAAGGACTTTTCTACGACCAACTTACCATAAAGGGTTACACGATACGCCCTGTTGCGCCTTGTTCGCAGGGCTTTTGTTTAGCCCCTATTTTCCCAGACCTCCAGCGGTTTCGTTTTCTGATTGGTGGGCAGGTTTCCTTCCCAGTTAAACCCCAAAGAAAGACAATTTCTTTGTTGTCCCATCGCCAAGACAGGTCTAGACAGTGGCCGCCCATTTGTTGGAACTCATTCAGACCAAACAAATAAGCCCCTGGTTCATACAGTCTGGCTCACTTGCCTTCAATGCATGAGGCACATTCGGCTCGAGCGGCGTGTCCAATTCATGGCGTGCGTTCGTTTGCTAGATGGCACGGATGTGATGACAACGGAGGAGTATTCCCAGAGAAAGCGACCACCGACGGCTTCACACCATTGCATCTTGCTGCACGGAACGGCCATCAGGCAATTGTGAAGTGCTTGCTGGATGCCGGTGCTGACAAAGAGAAGGTGATCAGCGTGAGCGCGCGGTTAGATTTTAGCCGGGTTATGATTGTTAAACTTGCTGCGTGGTTGCAAACAATGCATTTGTGCTTCTTTGGGCGATTCTTTTTGAGTTGCCAAACCAGAGGAGTATTGTTGACCCCAGATTTATAAACCCTTCCGATGATTTGCAGGGTGCTCCCTCCAAAAGTGGTCTGACCCCCGATCAACATCAACCAGGAGTTTGCGTTTGGGGTTGTCTTTGCCTGGAGCGTTGCGTTGGTGGCTCGGTTGGGGTCATTACGAAGCTTCCCTGTGGAACCAGCAGGTTTAATTTGGGCGGGCCAGCGATGGACTTGCAATAAGGATGTCCTTGGTTGGGTTTATCAAAGCAGCCCTTCCTTTAGCCAGACGGTAGTGGTTTCCCTTGTTGTGGTTTCCCACACTTCATTTCCAGATCCTCAAGCTGGCTCAAAAAGTGACCTGGATTCCCTCCAAACTGGCATGCCTCCTTTCCATCCATGCCTTCTGCTCAACCGGGGCTCATGGCAAGGCAGACAAGTCACTCGAATTACCAGGGGATATTAGAGAATGTCGGGATGCGTCCTGACAACATCCCACGTGCTTCCTTTCCGGCCAATCTGGTTGCGTCAAGCAAGGGAAATCTTGCAACGGGTACCTCATGCAAACCTGGGGCTGGGAGGCTTGAAGGGAACACATCCGTTTCGCGCCGATTTTGCTGGTGAAACACCCGACGGGTTTGGAGCGGCCGTTTTTCCCTGACGGCCACGGCCACTGGGCAAGCGTCCGGAAGGCGCCAAATGCGTGATTCCAGTTCTCAGAAACGTTGTCCCAGCTTGCACCAAAGGAAGTTCTCAGAATCCGGAGAGGCCGCCCATTTGTTGGAACTCATTCAGACCAAACAAATAAGCCCCTGGTTCATACAGTCTGGCTCACTTACTTTCAATGCATGAGGCACATTCGGCTCGAGCGCAGGCGTGTCCAATTCATGGCGTGCGTTCGTTTGCTAGATGGCACGGATGTGATGACAACGGAGGAGTATTCCGTCTGGCGGGACGAGCTCCGCGGAAATGAAGATGGGGAATGCTTCTTCGATGCGTTACGGCGCCATTTGGCGAAGAGCTTCCTGGTTACCTATTGGTGCCCGATTTTCCTGCTTTGCCAGATTAAGTTCCTGCTTTTTCTCCACGTTCAGTGGTAACCGGCTTCCTTTTTTGGGCGTATTCATTGAGGATCAACCAACTCAACCACATGTATGTTAGTTGTGTCTGTGTGTGGGCGGGGTTTTCCTATGGACACTGGCCAAGCAAGGATTGCTCTTGCGGAATTTCAGGCAGCTCGCGTTGGCTAGTGGCATAGGCAAGTTGGGGCCAGAGAGTCCGTGGGATAATGCTGAGTGCCTGACCGCCGTTGTACGGCAATATGTTCCGGCAGTCACAGGTGAAGCAGAGGGTTTGGCAAATGGTGTTGACCTGCTGCAAGGGGCGGAAAGGGGCGATGCACAACTTGTGCTAGAGCTGTTGGAGAAGCCTCATGATCCCAATGCTTCTGACACAAACAGACGGAAGACGCCTTTGCATAATGCTTCTGCAAACGGCCATCTGGTAGTTGTGCAGTACTTGCTGGATGCCGGTGCTGACAAAGAGACGGCGGGCAACAATGGCTGCACACCATTACATCTAGCTGCTTGGCAGGGCCATCATGCAGTTGTGCAGTGCTTGCTGGAATCCGGTGCTGACAAAGAGAAGGCTGCCAACGATGGTGCCACACCATTGTATATTGCTGCAAAGATGGGCCATCACGCAGTTGTGCAGTGCTTGCTGGATGCCGGTGCCGACAAAGAGAATGCGGCCAACAATGGCGCCTCACCATTGCATCTAGCTGCCGGGCAGGGCCATCATGCAGTTGTGCAGTGCTTGCTGGATGCCGGTGCTGACAAAGAGAAGGCGGGCAACAATGGCTGCACACCATTACATCTAGCTGCTTGGCAGGGCCATCATGCAGTTGTGCAGTGCTTGCTGGAATCCGGTGCTGACACGGAGGAGGCTGGCAGCGGTGGTGCCACACCATTGCATCTTGCTGCATACCACGGCCATCAGGGAGTTGCGCAGTGCTTGCTGGTTGCCGGTGCTGACAAAGAGAAGGCTGGCAACGGTGGCGCCACACCATTGTATTGTGCTGCAAAGATGGGCCATCACGCAGTTGTGCAGTGCTTGCTGCATGCCGATGCTGACACAGAGAAAGCGACCACCGAGGGCTTCACGCCATTGCATATTGCTGCACAGAACGGCCATCAGGGAGTTGCGCAGGGCTTGCTGGTTGCCGGTGCTGACAAAGAGAAGGCTGGCAACGGTGGTGCCACACCATTGTATTGTGCTGCAAAGATGGGCCATCACGCAGTTGTGCAGTGCTTGCTGCATGCCGATGCTGACACAGAGAAAGCGACCACCGAGGGCTTCACACCATTGCATATTGCTGCACAGAACGGCCATCAGGCAATTGTGAAGTGTTTACTGGATGCCGGTGCTGACAAAGAGAAGGCTGGCAACGGTGGTGCCACACCATTGTATTGTGCTGCAAAGATGGGCCATCACGCAGTTGTGCAGTGCTTACTGCATGCTGATGCTGACACAGAGAAAGCGACCACCGAGGGCTTCACACCATTGCATATTGCTGCACAGAACGGCCATCAGGTAATTGTGAAGTGTTTACTGGATGCCGGTGCTGACCAGGAGAAGGCGGCCAACGAGGGCGCCACACCATTGCATTTGGCTGCTGGGAACGGACACTGGGCAGTGGAACAGTGCTTGCTGGATGCCCTTGCTACTAAGAGAAGGTGATCAGCATGAGTGCGCGGTTTGTATTATGATTGTTAAACTTGCTGCGTGGTTGCAACAAATGCATTTGTGCTTCTTTGGCCGTTTTTTTAGTTGCCAACCCCGGATTTATAAACCCTTCTGATGATTTGCGGGGTCCTCCCTCCAAGAGTGGTCTGACCCCCGATCAACATCAACCAGGGGTTTGCGTTTGGGGTTGTCTTTGCCTTGAGCGTTGCGTTGGTGGCTCGGTTGGGGTCATTACGAAGCTTCCCTGTGGAACCAGCAGGTTTAATTTGGGCGGGCCAGCGATGGACTTGCAATAAGGATGTCCTTGGTTGGGTTTATCAAAGCAGCCCTTCCCTTGGCCAGACGGTAGTGGTTTCCCTTGTTGTGGTTTCCCACACTTCATTTCCAGATCCTCAAGCTGGCTCAAAAAGTGACCTGGATTCTCTCCAAACTGGCATGCCTCCTTTCCATCCATGCCTTCTGCTCTACTAGGGCTCATGGTAAGGCAGACAAGTCACTCGAATTACCAGGGGATATTAGAGAATGTCGGGATGCGTCCTGACAACATCCCACGTGCTTCCTTTCCGGCCAATCTGGTTGCATCAAGCAAGGGGAATCTTGAAACGGGTGCCTCATGCAAACCTGGGGCTGGGAGGCTTGAAGGGAACACAGCCGTTTCGCGCCGATTTTGCTGGTGAAACACCCGACGGGTTTGGAGCGGCCGTTTTTCCCTGACGGCCACTGGACAAGCGTCCGGAAGGCGCCAAATGCGTGATTCCAGTTTTCAGAAACGGGTTCCTGCTTGCACCAAAGGAAGTTCTGAGAATCCGGAGAGGCCGCCCATTTGTTGGAACTCATTCAGACCAAACAAATAAGCCCCTGCCTGGTTGATACAGTCTGGCTCACTTGCTTTCAATGCATGAGGCACATTCGGCTCGAGCGCAGGCGTGTCCAATTCATGGCGTGCGTTCGTTTGCTAGATGGCACGGATGTGATGACAACGGAGGAGTATTCCGTCTGGCGGGACGAGCTCCGCGGAAATGAACATGGGGAATGCTTCTTCGATGCGTTACGGCGCCATTTGGCGAAGAGCTTCCTAGTTACCTATTGGTGCCCGGCTTTCCTGCTTTGCTAGATTAAGTTCTTGCTTTTTCTCCACGGTCATTGGTAACCGGCTTCCTTCTTTGGGCGTATTCATTGAGGATCAACCAACTCAACCACATGTATGTTAGTTGTGTCTGTGTGTGGGCGGGGTTTTCCTATGGACACTGGCCAAGCAAGGATTGCTCTTGCGGAATTTCAGGCAGCTCGCGTTGGCCAGTGGCATAGGCAAGTTGGGGCCAGAGAGTCCGTGGGAAAATGCTGAGTGCCTGACAGCCGTTGTACGGCAATATGTTGGTGAAGCAGAGGAGTTGGCAAATGGTGTGGACTTGCTGCAAGGGGCGGAAAGGGGCGATGCACAACTTGTGCTAGAGCTGTTGGAGAAGCCTCATGATCCCAATGCTTCTGACACAAACAGACGGAAGACGCCTTTGCATAATGCTTCTGCAAACGGCCATTTGGTAGTTGTGCAGTGTTTGCTGGATGCCGGTGCTGACACAGAGAAGCCGGCCAATCATGGCGCCACACCATTGCAGTTTGCTGCATGTAAGGGCCATCAGGCAGTTGTGCAGTGCTTGCTGGGTGCCGGTGCTGACAAAGAGAAGGCGGGCAACAATGGCGCCACACCATAGCTGCAGGGCAGGGCCATGAGGCAGTTGTGCAGTGCTTGCTGGATGCCGATGCTGACACAGAGAAGCCGGCCAATGATGGCGCCACACCATTGCATATTGCTGCACAGAACGGCCATCAGGGAGTTGCGCAGTGCTTGCTGGTTGCCGGTGCTGACAAAGAGAAGGCTGGCAACGGTGGTGCCACGCCATTGTATTGTGCTGCAAAGATGGGCCATCACGCAGTTGTGCAGCGCTTGCTGCATGCCGATGCTGACACAGAGAAAGCGACCACCGAGGGCTTCACACCATTGCATATTGCTGCACAGAACGGCCATCAGGGTGTTGCGCAGTGCTTGCTGGTTGCCGGTGCTGACAAAGAGAAGGCTGGCAACGGTGGTGCCACACCATTGTATTGTGCTGCAAAGATGGGCCATCACACAGTTGTGCAGTGCTTGCTGCATGCCGATGCTGACACAGAGAAAGCGACCACCGAGGGCTTCACACCATTGCATATTGCTGCACAGAACGGCCATCAGGCAATTGTGAAGTGTTTACTGGACGCCGGTGCTGACCAGGAAGGCGGCCAACGAGGGCGCCACACCATTGCATTTGGCTGCTGGGAACGGCCACTGGGCAGTGGAACAGTGCTTGCTGGATGCCCGTGCTACTCAGAGAAGGTGATCAGCGTGAGCGCGCGGTTTGCTGTTTAGCCGGGTTATGATTGTTAAACTTGCTGCGTGGTTGCCAAACCAGAGGAGTATTGTTGACCCCGGATTTATAAACCCTTCTGATGATTTGCGGGGTCATCCCTCCAAAAGTGGTCTGACCCCCGATCAAAATCAACCAGGGGTTTGCGTTTGGGGTTGTCTTTGACTTGAGCGTTGCGTTGGTGGCTCGGTTGGGGTCATTACGAAGCTTCCCTGTGGAACCAGCAGGTTTAATCTGGGCAGGCCAGCGATGGACTTGCAATAAGGATGTCCTTGGTTGGGTTTAGCAAAGCAGCCCTTCCTTTAGCCAGACGGTAGTGGTTTCCCTTGTTGTGGTTTCCCACTACGAATCAGCTTCATTTCCAGATCTGCTTAGCGTCTTAGGACCTCGATTTTTTCAACCTGGATCAAAAAGTGACCTGGATTCCTTCCAAACTGGGACATGCCTCCTTTCCATCCATGCCTTCTGCTCAACCGGGACTCATGGTAAGCTACACAACTCACTCGAATTACCAGGCGATATCAGAGAATGTCGGGATGCGTCCTGACAACATCCCACGTGCTTCCTTTCCGGGATGGCGGATGGCAACGAGTTTCCAGGAATCAAAGTCGAAAGGGACCACTCCCAGTTTGGCCACGCGCAACCGTCCCAGTTTTCAGAAACGGGTTCCAGCCTGCACCAAGCGTCCCTAAAGTCAGAAGGCCACGCATTTTCTGCCGCTCAGATGGTTTGGCTTGAGGGTGATAATCCTGCTAAGTTGGGTTAGATCTCCGTAGGCTTAGAACCCCAGATAGCCAGCAGAGTCGGCCAAGCAGGCAAGGTGCATGTTGACATTTGGCCGACGCACCCGTTTTCTTATATATATATATATATGTATATATTTATACATATATTTGTATGATATGGTTAGGACATTCATTCGTTGCATGCCCCATCCTCCTTGCTGTGTTTTCACGTATTACTTTGCGTGTTTTTTTTGTTCCTTGCCTGCTTTCCGAGATCACCTTGCTCGTTTTGTGTCCTGTTGGCGGGGGCTTCGCCTCAAAGTCAACCAACCGAACAAGGGTGCCTTTTCCCGGTGCGTGGCGTTAGGTGATGAGAAGTCCATCCTCGAGTACCTGATCTGTGGGAATCCCGATTACGCTCCCAGACTCAAGTGAGCTGTTTCTGGGGGCTATCAAAGTCAGAAAATGGTTTCGGTGGTTTCCCTTTCACCTGCCACTGAGAGGGTGACTTTGGTGAATGGGCAAGATCTAAACCCGAGGATGTAAAGGGAGCGTGTAGTTTTCTGGTACTGCCTTTTTTGGCGAAACAAAGGGCAGCCAAAGCGGCGTCCTTGTATTTTTGCGCATTGTCAGATGACTGGGGGTAAAACCTTCATTGCTATTGGGTTGGATCTTTAGACTTGAACTTTTGCGGAAAGCAAGGGTATTCCATTGAACCAACCATAGCTTTCTTTTTTGCAGAGGGGTCCTTCCGAGGCCTTTTCATAAGCGTTCCATGACTTTGGGAGTTGCGATTCCATTGGGCGTTTCAACGCCCCACCTTTGGGTTGGTTTACTGGGTGATGTCTACGGCAAACGAGCGAAGATTAGAGGAGAGTCCCTAGGCTTTGATCATGAGAGGTGTGGGTCGCCGGCAAAAGGAATCGTTTGACCGCTGATGGCTATCCAGTTGCCCGGTGGCGCCCGTTTGTTTCCTTTGTTTTGGGGGAAGGGTTCCACTTTAAACTCAACCAACAACGGATGCCCTTTTTTTCTCCCAGGGCCACTGGGCATCTGAGGCTACGTCTAGTGCAAAGTTTGACTGCCTCTTGGGTCGAGATGTTAACGCCAATCTGGACGCCATTGAGAATGAAACAACCCACGTGTTCGTAATCGCGGGTGTGCGCGAGAGGAAGGACCCCCATCAACAGGAGGCGCCCTGCTAATGATAAGGGATGTATGAATCAGGTCAACCTGCAAGCAGTTGTGACAAACGCAGCTAGTGGCTGGTACTGGACAGCGACACGAGCGAAGCACCAGCATGTTTAGGGCTCTATTGTGCATCTAGCCTCTGGTGGCCAGTGTTGCGTCATATGATTAGAACTGTGTTGCTCGTGTCTCTGGCTTGAAAGTATTTGCTTTGTTGTTGAGGGTTGGCGTTTGAAAGGGAACAAAGGAATTCTGAACCTCGCCTTCTTTTCAGGCCGCCCTTGTTCTAAAGATGGCGCTGGGTTTACTACCCGCATGCGACAGGGCCAGAGAATCCGAGGACACGTGGTGGACTTTATGTGTGGCACCAGTGGTATCCAGTGCTTCGATTTTCAACCGTAGGTATCCCATAGCAAGAGCCGGCAGCTATGGGATGTGTGGGGGTTCCGTGAGGGCGAACGGGGGAGATAGTCGGCGTACCTCTAGGCTTTACCATGAATGGCTTCCCGTTTTTACTTTGCCGTTTGTGGCTAAGCACTGGGGCACACAAAGCGCGCAGTCCTCTGGAAGTCGAAGCCGATGTTTTGTTGAGGCTTTTTGGCGCTCCCAGAGAATCGCTTCGAACACGTTAGAGATGACCTGGCGCCTTGCCCCCCTGTTTGGGTCAGAAAAGGATTCGTCGGGTTACTTTGCCCCCCCTTCTTTGGGTCAGTTTCAAGGCCACCCACCCGGGAGTCTCTATGACCCTCTAAAAACGGGTCCATGACCTCTTTTATCTTGGGTAATGACCAACCATTTTTAAGGGTCATGGAGACTCCAGGCATCCGTTTTTCCACTTGTTTCTTGCCTTGGTTTACAAAAAAAAAAGGCACACCTCATTGGAGGGTCTCCCTATGTGACACGCACCCTGGATCCGGCTCTTTCTTTTTGCTTGCCCTTCGCTCGGCCAGCGGTTTTTTTCTTCGGCCAGCCGCGCGGAGGTGTGCCATCCCATCCAGCGGCTGATGAAGGAGTCGCCGCAGGCGCTGCTGGAGTGCAAGGACTCAGACCAAAGACGGGGGTTTGGGTGGTTGGATTTTTGGGGTTTGGGGTTTTGCGTGTTTGGTGTTTTGTGTTGTTTTTGGGGCTCTGGTTTTTTGGGTTTTGAGCTTTTTGGTTTTTGGGTGTTGGGTGGTTAGGAGGTTGGGTTTTGGGTGGTTCGGAGGGTGGTTGGGTTCTTGGGTTTTCGGGTTTTCGGAACTGAACGCCCCCAAGCCTCGAACCTTTGGCAGCTCTTCGGAGGGCGTAGGCCTTGGGTCCATACCAAAAAGCGCCTCCAGCCCGCCCCGCCAGAGATTTGTCGCTCCAACAGGTCTTTGAGCCTATGATTCAACCTCACGGCTCGTTTGGCTGTGGGTCAAAACCGTTTTTGTACCATTTGGGGGTAGGCGCACCACCTTTTTTTAGAACCTAGTTTAGTGGGATTGGGATGTTCACTGGGGGCTAACCGGGGTTTGACCCATGGCCATTTGAGCGGCGTCCAAAACCTCCGTGTACATGGTTAGTGAGAGTCGTGTCACATCGACCTGTGCGTAAGCAAGAAATCCACGTGCGTAGGTGGCGTAAGCTATTGGCGTAAGCAACACCTCCAAAGGTGTCGCGTAAGGAAACACTCCACGCGCGTAAGGTGGCGAAAGCTAGTGGCGAAAGCTAAAATGATACGACTTAGCAAGTGACACGTCTAGGACATGGCTCATTTGGTACTCGGTTTGATGGGTGCCTGGAGTTCCCAGCCAAGTCTCTACCTGATCGGCTCTAACGCCTTTTTGCGTTTTGGGCACGACTGGAACGGGAAGTGCCAAACGTGTAAGTGTGATCCGTGTAGCAGCATTTGTGTACACACCTCACCTGGTAGTTTCCTATAGGTGCTCTGGTCCAATATCGGAAAACCGAAGACCCCTCCGCAAGTGTTCGCCCTTTGAGCGGATTTTTAGATTGAGTCCCTTTGAGTGGTCATCCTTGAGCAGTATTCAGGCTTGGCAAAGCATACCAAACTCATGCGTTCGTGGTTGATACGGTTGGATGACTGGAGCAACCCTTGAAGTCACGAGAACAGGTGCAATCGGGCTCGCTCGGTGGGTGCAGTATGGTTTGAACACCGAGTTGCATTGGACCGTTTTTGAAGAGATGCCATGAGTTGATGTGTATTCGATGTGGATGTTTGAAGAGGTAGTTGGCCCCACTGCGGCTTCAACACGTCGGCCGCTGAGGTGGTCGACACATATTAGATATAGAGGTGGTTGACGCCATCCTGATGTTGTTGATGGCTTTGGAAGTGTGTGTTTCAGGGGCACTGTGTGTGATGAGGGAAGTTAGGGTGATGGCCCGCCCACTTTGGTGTAGCAACGACTATTTCACATAGCCCTGATCCTGGTATGGAGAAGCTCCACGTTGACAAACCGGCCCCCTGGATCAAGGAGTTCTTAGGTGTCCCTGATTGGGTGGTCAAGACGGCACCTGTTCTGGGATCTCATTTGCATTTCGTCTACATTCAACGCTCACCAAATATGGGCCAAAATCACAAGTTTCTTTGTGGGGCGGGGGGGGCAGAAGCTGAGGTGGTCTTGGTCGGGATCAACAAACCTGTACAGTTGGGTGGACGTAGATGACACAATTCATTCCCTCATGTTGGTTTGGTTCGCCCTTTCTTAACCACATAAATGGTGTAATTAATCATTCATGAACTTTAAACTTTTTGGGAAGACCATTTTAGTGGTAAATACAAAGTTTGGACTTTGTTTGGGCCATCCACTCAGCCGGTGAGCTCTAAACCAGGCAACTGGTCCCCAAAGACACCCACGGCACCCACGGCACAGCCTCCAGACGCCAGGACTGCTTTCACCTGGCCCTCTCCAACACTGGGAACGCGCATCGGATCCTTCAGGCCATCGAAAGCGCCGAGTTCGTGGACCTTGAAACGGTTTTTGGGGCAGACCACTCTCTTTTTCGTGGCGCAGGCAAGAAGTTTTGGGGGACTTTTTGGGCACGTCCACGTAGGTGAGACAATCAACACCTGGAGTCAGTATTGGGGAGTCCCTTTGAATGATTTACAATTGGGTAGACAGACCCGGGCCGGCTCCATTATTTTGCCAAAGTTTCCCCCCGAAGTGGTAGGTTCAAGGGAGTTGCTGACTTTGACAACTTCAAGAAACAGACCCTAATTTGGTGCGGCTTACAGATGCCCTCAGCTCCAATGGTGATTTATATCCCTTCAGGCGAGCTTGTGAGAGGATATGCCAATCGAACTTATTTGAACACCAGCATGGCATCCAACACGGACACCAACATGGAAGCTGACCGGAGGGTTTCGCAAGACGGCAGGTCCTCTTGAACAGATTCCATACTGATGAGACAAGATTTGCTATGGGACGGCACTGGCGAGCTCGCCGAGCGGGGGTTAAAATGAGCTTTCGGATGAAGAGGGAACCATCATGTCTCGCCAAAAAGCTAACTTGTACTATAGTTCTATGGTGGAAACTGGACGCACTGAGTTGAATTTCCCCCGGCTGATTTGGGTATGGGTCAAAGTTAAACCACCAGGGGACCACAGGTTGAAGTCATTGTTTCCATTTAAGCTGAGATTACCAGGGTGCCATTGTGGGTACCTATTCTTGACCCACAGCCATTTGCTTTCTCCAACAAAGAACAACCGAGGCTGCGAAACGAACTCGTCCGGACATTCTGCCATTCCGGACTTACGGATGCCCAGGCTCCCTTCCATGGCTCCCAACGGTTCCTTTTTGTTTGGGGGAACAGCCCCTTAGGCCTTACAGGGGGGGATGTCCTTTCGTGTCGACGATGACGCACGAGGAAAGCATGAATGTTATGGTTCCACACTTGCAACCGTCAAGATTGCGTCAGTGTGCCCATGGGTTTGAATCAGCCCAAAATGGTTTATTGCGGTCAACCTTTTTTTGAGGCATATACCCACTGCGTAGCCCTATGAGATGGTAAACTCTAAACCCCAAACCCTAAACCCTGGACGTAGTGGTTTGGGGGCAGTGGACATAGTCTGGGACTGCCGATCCTCGACCCCCATCTATCGGTAGGGATGCCATGAACCCCCTAAGTCGCAACTATAGGGATTCTTATAAACTCAGTTGTTCAGTGGCACCCTTTTTCCTTTTTTTTTGGTGGCTGCCCGCTGCCCCACTAAAAATGGTCTTCCCAAAAAAGGGTTCCCTTTTTTCCAGGGTCACGAGAGAATTGAGTAAAGGAAACATGACCAACGGCCCACTCAGAAAGTTTTCACCATGGCACCTATGCCACTCTCCTCTTAAGCGCCTGACTGGCAGATTCGCGAGATGGGGCACGTCTGTCTTGTAGACTCTTTAAGTGGAAACCGAAGCCCACTTTTATGGCATCCACCTTTTCGGGGTGGAACCACTGTCAACGCTACCTTGGATGGGAGGGTTGTGGCTTTGGGGCATACAACAAACTGGGGGTCCCCATACAAATATTTCCCCTCTAAGCCAGTTTAAACACCTTTTGGACTGGTGGCTGAGTTTGCTCTTGGGGGGCAATGTTTTTGCCGGGGAAAATACGGCTGTGAAAACCAATGGTACCATTTTGGGGTAGGTGCACCACCCATTTTAGAACCTATTTTAGTGGGGTTTGGGATATTGACTGGGGGTACGATTTGGGTTTTGGCACGTGGCTTGTGTCGCTAGGCGCTTCTACGAGACGACTGCCCCAAGGAAGTGCTGCTGATGCTGCTCCGCTCCTGGGCGCAGGATGGGAAGCAATTTGGACGGTCCCTTTGGCCTTTTGTCCTTCAGGGTCTCTCAACGGCGTTGCATTTTGGGCGGGTCTCAAAGTTACTTTTCTCACTTCCTGAGTTCATGAACTTCAAACTTTTTGGGAAGACCATTTTAGTGGTACAGATAAAGTTCGGACTTTTTTGCGGCCATCCGCTCAGCAAGTGAGCTGAACTTCAGGGACAAACTGTCTAGCCCTCGTGCCAGAGTTTTGGAGCAACCCTGCTTGTTCCAACTTGAAACGAACTTGGTGGGCGCGGTGGTTCCTCTGGGTCCGGCGCAAACCCACCCAGAAGGGTCCTCAAATAGACCCCCTTTAGGCCTTATAGGCCCATCAAAAGCTGCTACAGGGTTCCCTCTTGGGGCCCTCGGGTTGTGCTTTTCTTGTTTTCGGGATTGGCGTTGCCCATTCAAGCTTCCACAGGCCTCCACAGGGCTCCCAGCCTCAAGACCAATCCACTTCTCACTGCGTTTGGCTCACTCGGAGAAACGCCGCTTCCTCGCTTTGTTTTCTCTGGGGCTTTGTGTTGGTCGCCAGTTGATGCAAGTTAGCAACAGGATGATTGGGTTCTGTTGCTTCTCCTAGGGGCCGACGTTTCGGGAGCAAGCCCGGTCCACTTTCATCTTTGCGAACAATGTTTCTGCCTTTTACGTAGGGTTGCTACAGGTTAGGGGCTTTAGACAGCCAATGGCGTTACCAAAAAGGAAGTCATGACCATGACCGGCATATGGACTTTTGACCGTGGCCCATGTGATGTTTGTTCTGATCTTAGGGTAATGGGAAGAGCACCCAGTTTTTCCAAGCCCAAACATGGTTTGTAACCTCCATGTTACCTTCTGTGTTTTTCACAACCAAATCACACGCCGGGGTCACAAGAACCGGGTTTTCTTTTGGAAATGACGTGTTCCTAAATCAACGCTTGAAGCAGACATCCAATCAACTGCGCTGCAAGAGTGCAGGCCAAAGGCTCAGAAACAACCCCCCCATGTGTCCCCCAAAATCATGGCTTGCGTATGGGTTCCCTTTGAACCAAACAAAAGAGTAATTACTCAAAAAACAACTTCCAGAAGGGAACCCTTCAAAACAAAAGGAACCACCGTGTTTTTTCTTTTTGAGAAGAGAGACAACAAGTCGACGGAGTATCCCCGAGGTTTTTCCGGGGGCTTTAGGCCCAGGATCGCTTCGGGAGAAGGCGCAACGATGACGATGACTGCATGGAACCAGCGCTTGAGCTTTCTTCGCTTCGCCCCAAGCCCGGGGGGTTAGGCCAACTCCTGGAACTTCGTGGTTTGGATATCTTTGGAGGTGTTCAGACCAGAGCGATGGAAGCAATCACCGGGTTTCGCCGGATTTCACCGGATTTCACCGGGTTTCACCGGATTTCATGGTTTGGTGTTGGATCCCTCTGCAATTCATGGACAAAGGCAGGGCCGGGCCGGTGAATCCATTCGCAAAAAAAACCGCCGGGCTGGGAGCTGTTCTCTCAGGCTCCAAGGGCCCCCGAAACTTGACGCCGCTCCAGCGATGCGCCCAGAGCGGCGACGCCGAAGCCGCCAGGCGAAGCGAGCGTGGGCGTGACGGACCGCTCCGCGGGCTTTTCATGGGTTTGCTAGAACTGGCGGTGGTCAAAACCGTTAAACGGGATCCCATTTTGGTAGGTGATTTCACCACCAAAATTTTAGGGCCTATTTTGGTGGGGATTGGGATGTTCACGGGGGGTACGGGCTTTTGACCCATGGCCAAATTGGGGGGGGGGGTTCTTGTGAAGAGCGTTTGTTGGTCGGTTTGCAATGTGGGGAACTTTGGTTTGCTAGAATGTGGGGTTGATTCTGCAGGGTTTTGTTCTTTCTAAGGTGTCCGGGGGGCTTTAAAAGCGAGTTGAGCCAAGATCTAATATGAGAGCAATGTGTGACTTTCTTCAGGGGGTGGTTGCAGGGGCTTGCGCTCAATCAGCTGTTTCCAAGGTCTGCATGTGTGTTGGTGTTCTCTGGCCAACGATTCAAACGATCCGCTCACCATGAGAGTTCTTTGCAGAAATTTGCGCTTCAGGTTTGGATTTGTGGTAAACATGCACAGAGATCAGTTCCTTAGTTTGTCCATGCTTCCACAACCCGGTTGTTCAGTGGCACCCCTTTTTCCCTTTTTTTTTGGTCGCTGCCCCACTAAAAATTGTCTTCCCAAAAAAGGGTTCCCTTTTTTTCCCAGGGTCACTGAACAACTGAGACAAGTTTAAGCAAATTTCTTTCTTGGCTTTTCGCAGCATGCTGTTGGTTTCCCTTTGATGGGACGTGGGCCTGGTTGTGACATGTTTGCTCGATGATCCCTTCTACCGTGGATGCCCAGCACAATCCATGGGAATGTTCTGGCTTTCCCCTGCTTCACCGCTTGCAGGTTTGCTCGGGCATCCACCAGATTTATATCTGTGAATTAATGATTCACCAGTGGCATATTCAGTTTGTTCTCAGCGGATGTTTTTGCAGACTGGTGGGGTGATGTTGGGCGAGTAAACCTAAAGATCCTGTGTTTTGATCCAAACTGAGCAACTGGCTGAACTAGATTTCAGTTCCAAACCGGCTTCAACGAGAGTTTCTTGCTGGTGGTGGAGCACCGTTCTTCACGAGAAGCAACCCGCGGAGCAGGGTTTGCCCTTTTGCCCCGCCAGGTTTACATCAAGTTGGGCCAAAAGCGACCCAACTTTTTGAGACGGTCCCTATGTTGAAGCGTTAACGCAGGCCCCACTCGATGGAGGGGCCTTGAAAAGCTGGGTCGATGCCCGTTTTCACCTGCGTCCCGGTGAGGAAGTCTAAGCTTGTCCCCCTTTGGCGTTTGCCCCTTCGGGTTGTGTGCTTGGATGTGTGTGTGTGTGTGTGGGTGTGTGTGTGTGTGGGTGCGTGCGTGCGTGCGTGCGTGCGTGCGTGCGTGCGTGCGTGCGTGCGTGCGTGTGTGTGTGTGTGTGTTTATAAGAAGTACTCGAACAAATACGAGGAGATGTCCGAGGGCAAGCCAAAGCCGTTAGTTGGCTTCCCCCATTAAGACGTTTAATCATTGCCGGGCTTAGCTTGCCGTTTGAACTCTTTGCATTTCATTGCCTTTTGTAGGCTTCCTGTACTTCCCCTTTCAGCCAGCAAACAGTTTTAATTTTGTTGCAGGGATGGGATGTATCTACCCAGGATTGTGGCTTTAGCGATGAAACCATCACGTAAAGCCAAGATGCAACAACTCTAGCTAACCTAATATTGTGGCCACTGCCAGCCAGCCTCAAGGATGCAGGCCTATTTGCAGCCTGAAGCTTGACCGGATTTCTAGGACATTTTCTAGACTATATCCTTTGTGTGGCAAACAAACGTAAGCCATACTTGCCTGCATTTGCAGTGAAGCGCCCCAAATTGTGAAGAGATGCTTCCCACACAGAGCCTCAGGGAAACGTTTGAGCTTTTGCCAAACGGACGTAGAACGCAAATTATTCAGGAGAAGCAAGCCCTAAAACTGATGTGGAGAACCCCCTGCCAGACATGTGAGCCATTGTCAAGATATGGGTATGTGTCAAAATTAAACCACCAGGGGACCGCAGGTTGCAGTCCATGTTTCCATTCTCCAGGGTTCCATTTTGGGTACATATTTTTGACCCACGGCCATATGGGTATGTGTCAAGATAGGGGACGCGACAACGCAGCGGATGGCTTCGCCAGGGTCATCCTGGACACCTTGCCCCCAGACCTACTGCGACGGGCGCTGTTGGGAGAAGGCGCGCGCTGCAGGTTGGCCCGATTTGACCCAGGGTCTGGAGGGGCATAGCCCATAAGTTTTCACATACCCAAAGGGAGCCAAACATGGGATTTGTAAATTTTCCAGTTTTTGAAAAACTAGGTGAATAGTCCAACTCAATTAATTTTCCAGTTCCTGTGCATTCCCCATTGCTTAGTTGCTTGGTTCATGCTTTGAGGTTGAAAAGGAGGTAAAGTCACCCAGCTGCTTAGAGGGTACTACCCAGAAACTGGGCCCGAGTTGGGAGGCTGATATCATTTGCGTCTTCCCAATTTGGGATCCAGAAAATGGTTGGCTTCCATTTTCGGTTTCTCTTCAAGTACCTCGGCTCGTCCCCAAAAAGCAGTATACACCCATTCTCAGCTTGCTCGGCGGTTCTTCCGGGTGGGTCCGGAAGATACATGACAGACATGGTTTTGTCACTTCACTCCTGACAAGTGTTTGAGTCCGTCTTCGACCTCCTGCTGTTGTGAGCCCATCTACGAGAAAAGATGGGCGGATTGTTCGCTGAAAACCTTCCAGGAGAACACCGACAATTCCCAGAGAAGCCGTCATCAACAATCAACGGGCACCTCAAAAGGGTCCTGAAAGGCATGTAGGCGACCAATGTTCACATCAGCTTTGGCTACACTCCCAAATGAGTCTCTTTGTTTTTTGTTTTCAGGGTTCTCTTTTTTTAAGGTTGTTGCAAAAAACATAGCCAAAAGTTTCGGGGTACCCCAATTTTGACACATGCCCCAAATCCGTCTCCTGCGGGTCAAAGCAAGTCGACATCGCGCCAGTTGCCGTCCACGCGGATGGCGCTTTCACACCGGATGAGGCGCGAAGCTTCAAAGGCAGCGATGGATGCGGCTCGGGATAAAGACTGAGGGCTGTTCCAAACATATGGGTCTGTCTGTCTTGTTTTTTGGCGAACCCATTTTTGTGTGTGTGGTTTTACAGTGAAAAACAACAGGACAACCACCATTTTGGGGGGGTCCCCTACAAAAGGACTCACGCGTAGTACATCTTTCAGGGTTCACTAAATCTGGAATATAGCCAGAATACATATCACGTTCTGCGTTTCCCAGATAGGCCAGCAAAACGGAAAGCCGGGATTTTTCTTGGCCTCTTAATGGGGGGGTGCCCATTTCAGGTTTGTTCATATTGTTTGAGACCAACAACTTGGTAAACTAACAGCGGATGTCACATTGGCCATGTGAAAGGAATGCTTTACTTCTTTGGGAAGCGCTTCCCCCCCCCCCCCTTGTATCTTGGAAGGGTGAATCATGGGACGTCAGCATCACTTGCCTGCTGGTTTTGCACGAGGAATCACAGAGCCATGAAGGCTGGGGGACCCTGGAGGAGAGCCACGGCGATCGACTTTGACTTTCAGCGCCCACCAGAAGCTAGAAAGGGCTGTGAAGCAACCGAAGCCAATCAGCCTGGGATGTCGAGCTTTTGGAAGGCCTTTGGAATGAGAACGGACAGGCTTCGGGAGCGTGAAACAAGGTAGATCTGGGACTTGCGGAAGGTTGATCTGCGATCCATACCTTGGATAACTTGCATTGACAATCCAGGTAGACGGATTGATTTGATGGCGATCCCAGAATCAACGAACATGTGCTCAATCTACTGGTGCAAAACATTTCAGAGGGATCAACAGGCGAAGCGAGGTGATGTTTGAAAAGTGACATGGAGGGTCCAAGCACCTTGTAATGGAGGGCTATTCAAACAAAAAATAGAACGTGAAACCATCCCACAACAAGTTCGGAGCCCCTCTATATTTCCAGTTTGGCTTTGGTTTGGTCAAAACAGATTTGTCGGTTGAGTGGTACCAAAGTACCCAAGGCTTGACATGTTGGACTCAGAATGCGAGCAGGTGGTACGCACAGCTTTAGACCCCCGGCGATCGGATGCACAGGCCGGCGTGGCTACCGGTCGGTTCTGTGGCAGGGCAACTGGGGATCGGTATGTACTTGACATGGTTTGATCACAATTACGCGGGTTTCTTACATGGCCACGAAGTTTCCTTTTGGTGTCCCTTCTTTTAAAACCCCCTTTTTGGGGGTACACCATGTGGAGAAACCCCCATATCCATGTGTGCTGGAGGAAATGTTTGTTGAAGGGCTGGTGCTCCCTTTGCTGTTGCGTTTTTCCTGATTTGCTTAAGGCAGGTTTGCATGAAAAGACTGCGAGGCCCCTCAGCATGGTTTGTTTCCCGTTGTTTTGCCACATTTGCTGTTTGAACAACACCAAACGGGGTACGCTGATAAACAGGCATGCCCAGGCGTGCTTCTTTAAACACCTCCCGCTGTTTGCTTAGTCAAGGATATTCTGCGAAACAATGAAAGCCTGGGTACCTAGATAAGGGATAAGGCAATAATAAGTAGGTGCGGCCACCCTTCTAGTTCTTTACATGTTGGGTCGACCATGTTGATACCAGGTTTCGATCGAGACTCGTGTTTTGGAGGGTTCCAGTTTTCTGCAGGTTGCTGTTCTTGCGAGAAGCGTGACTCGTAAACGTGGCTATGGCTGTGTGTACTAATTTGCACCCTTTGCAAATGGAGGCTTCCGGCCAACTGAAGAGTCACTTCTCCTAAGTGGTGATCGTATTTTCGTAGCCGCTTCGGGGGGCTATCAAAGTAAGCAACTGGGCCTGAGGGGTGACTTTGATGATTTAAAAAAAAAAAAAGTGCTAGGGGATGGCCTTGTGGTATCAAAAAAGGTGAGTTGTGGGGTATGACATGGGTACACTTGTAGGGGTAGCTTGTCCATTCTGAAAAGGGGGGAAACCAACAAAAAACGTTGAACAGAATGAGGCCTCAACCCGATGAGTAAATAGTGTTGCTGCGGCCCAACGAATCAGAGGGCACAGGACTCTTTTTCAGTCTTCTTGTTCAATTGCTCCAAGTGATTCGTTCTTGGCTTTTTGTCAAGCAATCTCAAGCTGGAGAAGGCCCTTTTTCGTTTCAGCCAGATGGTGATGTGTGTCAAAGGGAAAGGGGTACCGCCAACCTGGTTTTCCTTTTGGTTTCCAACCGCCCGATGGCTGTGGTACCATTTTGGTTGGTAAGTGAATTCACCACCCATTTTAAAACCTATTTTAGTGGTTGGATTGGGATGTTCACTGGGGTTAGTTCCGGTATTTGGACCCCTGGCCTGGCGCTCCGCTCCTTGCGGAGGCTGCGTCTGCGCCCCCGCTGATCTTGGCCCTGCGTGAGAAGAAACACGAGGCCGCCAAGCTCTTGGCTTCCCGCTCTTCGGCAAGCTCTTGGCTTCGGTGATGCAGAACAGCAAACTGGGATCATTATTCTGCCATTCCGGATTTACGGATGCCCAGGCTCCCTGCCATGGCTCCCAACGGTTCCTTTTTGTTTGGGGGAACAGCCCCTTAGGCCTTACACTGGGGTCATTATTTTGCCTGTTTCGGGGGGTTATCAAAGTCAGAAAATGGATTCGGTGGTTTCCCTTTAGCCCACCACTGAACGGGGGTGACTTTGAAAAAGACTCTCCAAGATATGCCAGTCTTGTCCGCTTGCTCCGAAATTCTCAACCATGGTTCTGCTGAATCTTGAAATCCGGTTTTAGGCAAGATGAAAACTAGCACAAACACAAAAGCACACACGCAAAACCACCACAAAACACACAAGGGGACACAAAACGAGGACGGTGTGTGTGTTCCCCTTGGGTCTTTTTGTCTGGCCTCATTACTTTACATACTTTACCATGGCGAGGATGCCGCTTGTCGGAGTGATCCTTAATTCAAGCCAAAAGAGAACCCACCGCTCTTCGGGGTCCCCTAGTTTTGAAAGCTAATGGAACGTTTTGCCCACCGGTTCTCTTTTGGAAACCAGGAGAGACTTGGGCAAATTTGCAAATTTGACGTGGCTATATATATATGCTCACCCCCCCCTGCATGACCTACCTTTTTAGCTGAAAAAAGCAGGATCTCATCTATCATTTGCCCCTCCCTTCATCGCTATTGGTGGGGCACAGCACTTGGTTTTCATTGCACACGCGAGCAAAACACAAAACTAATTATCTTCAATGCTTATTGATTGAAGCAATGGAAAACCTGTTCCATTATGTTATTCACCGCCACTCATAACATAATGATGTTCCATTTAATATTAATGACAAGTTAATTGTTAAATATAATTTCTATATTTCTTTAATATCAACTATGACAGATGTCCCAATAATAAAACCAATAAACATAACTGAATATGAATTCAAACAATCCAAATATGAGCACGTGCTAAAATTACCATTTAGAAGTATTATAGTTGCTTCATCGACGGGAGGCAAAACAGTTTTAGTCCAAAACCGTATCTTGAATGTTTATAGAAATTCATTTGCAAGAATATTTATATTTTCCCCCAGCGTTCATAATGACCCAACTTTTACAGAAGTTAAAAAATACATCAGGGATGAATTGCACGTGGATGATGAAAAAGAACAAATTTATTTTGATAATTATAATCCAAGTGATTTAGAAAATGTAATTGAAAGACAGAAGAAAATAATTATTTATATGAAGTCTAAAAAGATAAAGACACTACATTCAATATTAATCGTTATAGATGACCACGCATTCAATATTAATCGTTGTAGATGACCACGCAGACGATCCTAAATTTGTTAGATATAGTAAATTATTACACGGACTTTTTACAAGAGGCAGGCACGATGCAGTAAGTGTAATTTGTTAAACACAAAAATATAATGTTTTAGTGCCTATCATTCGTTTAAATGCCAGTTCATTAGGTTGAAAAATGCAAGTGAGTTAATGAGTTTTATTGAAGAAAATAGCGCCATTGTTGATAAACAGCAATTATTAGATATGTATCATCAAGCCGTTAATGACGCACCTTATAGTTTCTTCTACGTGAATATGAATGCTAAAGACATTAACAAAATGTTTCATATCAGATTTGAACAGGCATTTCAAATTACGAATGATGAATAAAGATATTCTAATTTAATATAATATAGTAATATGCCAATGAAACTATGTAGATGTGGTGGATTTTATCGTAGAGGTAATTGTAATTTTCATACTAATTCTTGGATACATAAACTTTATCTAGTATTGAAAAGAAGGGCACCAGACGAGGAATTATTAAGATTTCAACATAATTTTGTTGATGAAGAAGATTTAATAGATGATATAAGTAGTACTACTTCAACAACAATACCAGAGGATAAAATGACAGATTATGATAGCAATTAATAATACTATTATATGTTAATATTATTAATTTAAATTAACGAAGCATTGCAAAATTGTAAGGCAGGAAGTTTATATATTAATTTGTCAGATTTTTCTTTCTCTAGTTTCTCAATTCGTGTCACACATTCTTGAAGAGATTTAATAATTAAAGTGTCTGCTCGTGTTTTTTCATCTATACTTAAATTCTTAATGTCTTCCAAACTATTATTTTCATTATTTTTACTTTTACCAATACCCATTATATATGATATTATTAAGATTTTAATTTTTCAAAATTATCTTTTTGTGGTTCTTCTTCTTCGTCTTCAGTTGGTGCTGGTATTTCTGTTGTTTTAGATGTCTGGCCCACGACAAAATCTTGGATTCTTGGTTTTCTCGAGGTTTTCTTGGTTTTCCTTGTTTTACTTGGGAATTCTTGGTTTTTTGCTGGAGAAAAAACAACAACTAGTAAATCTTGTGTTTTTGCTGGAAATCCAAAAAAACCCTAGTAATTCTTGGTTGTTTGCTGGAAATCCAAGAATTCCCAAGTAAAATCAAGAAAACCAAGAAAACCTCGAGAAAACCAAGAATCCAAGAATCCAAGATTTTCATGTAGATGTCTGGCCCACGACAAAATCTTGGATTCTTGGTTTTCTCGAGGTTTTCTTGGTTTTCCTTGTTTTACTTGGGAATTCTTGGTTTTTTGCTGGAAATCCAAAAAAACCCTAGTAAATCTTGGTTTTTTGCTGGAAATCCAAAAAAACCCTAGTAATTCTTGGTTTTTTGCTGGAAATCCAAACAAACCCTAGTAAATCTTGGTTTTTTGCTGGAAATCCAAAAACACCCTAGTAATTCTTGGTTTTTTGCTGGAAACCCAAGAATTCCCAAGTAAAACCAGGAAAACCAAGAAAACCTCGAGAAAACCAAGAATCCAAGATTTTGTAGTGGACCAAACATCTACCTGAAAATCTTGGATTCTTGGATTCTTGGTTTTCTCGAGGTTTTCTTGGTTTTTGCTGGAAATCCACAAAAACCCTAGTAATTCTTGGTTTTTTGCTGGAAATCCAAGAATTCCCAAGTAAAACCAAGAAAACCAAGAAAACCTCGAGAAAACCAAGAATCCAAGATTTTGTAGTGGACCAAACATCTACCTGAAAATCTTGGATTCTTGGATTCTTGGTTTTCTCGAGGTTTTCTTGGTTTTATGTGAAAAATGCTAAAAAACCAAGGAATTCTGAAGGTTTTACTGCAAAACCATCAAAAACCCAGGGAATTCTTAGTTTTTGACTTAGGGATCTATCTGAAAAACATATCAGTTTTTACACTTGTTTTTTTTGAATGCTTTCCTGTTTTTCTACAAAAAGAACATGGTTTTTTGCACATGTTTTGCTAAAACCATCAAACCACACTGGTTTTTCTTATTTTTTCAATGGATGACTGTGTTGTTTTTTAATCGAAAACCATAAAAAACAGGTGTTTTTTTCACTTTTTTATTGTCTGCTAATGGCCCCAACGACTTTTTGAAAGACAACGGTAGGTCATGCAGGGGGGGGTGACCATATATATATACATACATGCTCAACCCCCCGCAGGGCCTACCTTTCTTCTTCAAATTGGACCAACTCCTCTTTTTTTAAAGACCGGGGGTGTGAGCATATATACGCAATAAGTGTGCTGTTGTTGCATAGTTTGTGTGGGTGACAAGTCTGTTGAGTAACAACAGCGAAGATTTTGTAAATTTTCAGGAAAGTTTATAAACTATGTCAAGGGTTTGACGGTTTCCCTGCAACAAGGCAACACCTGGGCACCTGGGAGGAGGTTAAGAAGTCTGGGGCATGGGGAGGGAGGGGGGAGGGGGGGGTGAGAAGTCTTTAACAAAGTTGCTTGCTGACTGCTGAGACTTCCAACCACCCCCATTCCCAAGACTTCCCCACCCCCCCCCTCCCACCCCCCCCCTTTCAAGGATACCATGACCATGATGACTTCCCAGGGTGTTGCCTTGTTGCAGGAAAACGCCAAACACTCAAGAAGGTTTATAGTCTTTTCTACAAGTTTATAAACCTTATGTAGGCTTAATGCATAGCACATGGATACTGTTGTTTGGGGAAAAGGTTGTTTGGGAAAAGGAACAATCTTCGGTCCAAGGGAGCACAGTCTGAGCAATTTCTGCAAAACACTGTGTTTTAGAGCATTTTGTTGGATCTCTAAGCCTCATAATTTGGAGCTGGGAGTCCTCCAACATTTGTAAATATAGATTCCTTTCCAAATACTGCGAATTGAATTGGAATGTTGAAGGGAAAACTGTTGTTTTGGGAAAAACAATCTTCGGTCCAAGGGAACACAATCTGAGCAATTTCTGCAAAACACGTGTTTTACAGCACTTTGTTGGATCTCTAATCCCTTGAAATGTCCATGGTGAAGCACCTGAAACCTAGAATCTGGAGATCAGAATCCTCGAGATGTCTATTGTTGGATTCTCCAAGCCTCATAATTTGGAGCTGGGAGTCCTCCAACATTTTTACATATAGATTCCTTTCCGTAAGCACATAGTTCACCACCATTCATAATTCACCATAATGTCTATATTCGATCAGAATTTGAACAGGAATACCTTTCCAAACAAGGGAAATATCATTTCAGAAAAGTCCAAATATACTTTAATGCAGACAGAATTCAATTAGCTCTTGAACATAAGAAATTAATCAAGAATCCATCCCCAAATACAACTTGAATTGGAATAGAGCTTATTCTGGAAAGAAATCACTTGGCCTTTGCAAATTGTTTTTAATGGTAACTCATTCCCAAATGGGCAGCGTTTTTTTCCTTGGAATCAAGGATGTATACAAAAAGGGAACTGCATCATGTCCGCGTAGGCAATCTAGCTGGGGGGCGTAGGCGCGCGGAGGCATCGCGTAGGCATTTCGCGCACATCCTTGTATTTTTCCTTGCGTAAGCGCGCGCGCGTAGGCACTTGATGGAGTTGTTATGTATTGTCTGAAGCTTTATGTTTTACAATGCATATGGATGGGCATGGGTTTGTTCTGCAGTCTTCGCGTAGGCTCCGCGTAGGCTCCGCGTAGGCCCCGCGTAGGCATTCGCGTAGGCTTTCAAGGCATTTTGGGTGCGTAGACCTTTTCTAGCAGCCAGATCCTTGGACAGATGTTGGATTCTCACTTGTACTGCATTTCTGATCTTAGAGCCGGAGCTGCCAAAACTGCACTTGTGCTGAAAAGTTGCGATTTTCCAGCTGGAGCTGCCACAGTGCACTTCGACACTTGAACTCAACGTTTGCCCGCGTAGGTGGGCGCCTGGAAGCTGACTTGTGATCGCGTAGGCACCCCTCGCAGGCCGCGTAGGCTTGCGTAGGCCTTCGCGTAGGTGCACAAGTAGTGTATAGGCCCCGAACCACCAAAAAAACACTGCTCAAATGCTGATTCAGAGCCACGACAAAGGGGATCCCTGGAAAACCAAACATGTTATCACGCTTTGGCGGTGCAATCGTCTTCCACACCATCTGCTTCTTCTACATCATCTGCATCTGTGTCAGACAACGATTGACTTGGCATTGCAAAGCTCGAGCTGGAAAAAAGCGGCGCGCGATTTTCTTGCGTAGGCGTCCGCGTAGGCGCGACAAGAGACAAGCGTGCGCGCGTAGGCACCCCTTGCAGTCGCGGAGGCGTTGCGTAGGCGCTCGCGTAGGCATGTGTGCAGTGTATAGGCCCCGAGCACCAACCAAAAAACACTACCCAAATATGATTTAGCTTGCTAAACAAATAAAGGGCACATATCGCCAGACTCCCAAACTTGGTCGGGAGATGTGCTTGGCATGTGCAAGTCTCAGAGCTTTCATTTTCAGGAGATTTTGTGCTTTTGGGTCTGTGCAGGTTGCAGAGCTCAAAGCTACCAAAAACAGCATGTTTTCCAATGTTGTTTCCCGCGTACTCAAAACCACTGTAAAAAACAAGTGTTTTCAATCAAAGCCAGACTCGAACCTGAAAACGGATTCCGTTTTCGCTTTGGTGCCTTTCAAGCTGAAACAAAGCAGACATTTGCTGTCATATAGAAGGTAAAGCACCAACCAAAAACACTGTATTTTACAGTGTTTTCAGGCATCTGCAAGAACGAGTCACACGGAGTAGACTTGACACCTTCAACTAGAAGAGAGGAAAGGTAGGCCCTGGGTGTGTGTGTGTGAATCTATATATATATAGAGTTCTTGTGCATCAATCCATGAAGCAGAACCTGTGGTGACGAACCCCTGGTTGATTAGAGTCTTAGAGGGGGCCTTGTCCCATTGAAATCCGGGGAGATTCCACGCATCCAAGTTGGTTCACCGGTCGATATTCATCCCTGCAGCTGGTCTTGGATTTTTGGATGCCACCGCAATCGGTTGGAACCCAACGGTGCTTCTGCTGCAGTTCCCTTGAAGCATAGAAAAAAGGCACCATCAAAATAGAGTATGAGTATGCGGTTCGGCCATTTTCCCAGCAGTCTATGTTTCATTTGGGGCTTGGGACATGAGGGGGACTCACTTTCAGCAGAAGCCGGAGACTCACAAATGTTCCATTTTATTTCTCGGCATCTGGCATATTCGGCCTTTCATCGATGGCTGGCCTGCGGTGAATCAGCCAAGAGTTCCAACGACTGTTTTTGGGTTTTGACGTACCATGAAAGCTTTGAAATATTACATGTTGCTCAAGGGAGCCCGGGTCCCGAGATTTTCCTTTGTGGGCGGTGTTGACATCAACAGCGAGTTGTTTGTTGGGTGATGCTTGAAGGGCACATACAAGGATTCCTACAAAGGAGATCCATACTTTGATCAAACTTTTAAGCCAGCTCCACCAGTCAAAGTGGTACTTTTGTCCTATGTTCCCTTCTTTTCCCATGCTCAGAAAAGGATGTGAACTTACATTGTGGATGTCATTCAACAGGATGTGGCGTCCTTTCCCACCCCTTGAATTACTCTGGGAACTCACATCCATGGCTTTGGGCATACGGCTCGATCTGGCCGGCTTTTCACTGGGCTCACTAAAGTGACTGCCTCAAAATTACCATGTAAATGGTGTTTGAAGGCAAAGAGAAGCCCTCAAAATGATTCCTCTAATCCAACAATAGCCCACTTATAACAGGGTTATGTGCGCATAGGGGGACGTGTAAGTGGTCATACGGTGTATTGCCAATCGCGTTCTCAAAGTGAGCATGTGTCAATAGGCACACAACCAACATGTATTCCAGTTTTCACTGTTTTCACTGTGGTCTCCCTTAAGAGCGCACCAAACAGGGCACCCGGAAGAAACGCACACACACACACACACACACCAGGAACCCCAATGGCTATCTCAAATAGATTGAATGAAGTGAGCTACGTGGCAATTGACAGCCCCAGGGGCCTGGCATCAGGAATGCTCATGTTGGACAAGACGGACCGCGCCAGAGTCGCGTGGAAGGACTTCTGCAGCAGCGAGGAGGTGCGGAAGGAGATCGAGAGCTCCTCGGCTTGGACCCATTGTTTTAGGGGAAGATGCCCCCGTTTTCAAGAAGAAGGCCCAGGCGTCACGCCTTCAATCAAGGGTTGTATGCTGAATAACTTCTTAGGGAAACACTCGCGGTTGTATAAGCTCCCATTGTTTACGTAGTGGGCGGTTGGAATCGCAGGCTTCCCATTCCTTAAATATCGTTTTGATTCGGGAAACACCGCCTAATTTTCGAGCTTTGTCCGAATGCGCTGGGCTCCCCGGCTGGATGACCTTCCAGACGAGGGGTCGAGTACCTCATACCGACGGATTTTGGAGACCGCTGAATGAAGCATGATGGGGTGAATGAAAGCATGGCATTTGCGGATTGCTCTTAAGACATGGGTGGTGTCCCTTGGTTTCGTCTGCCCTTGTCCAAGAGGTTCATTCTGCTTGGCCAAAATCGTACCATGTTTGGTGCAAAAGCAGAGGTGTTTTCCAGAAGACCAGCTTGGTGGCTGTATGTTTAGAGACGGTTTGGCTAGAATCCAATTGACTTGGTGAAAGCGACCATTGAAACTTGTGGTTTCCATTTTGGGAGGTGTCCTAGGGAGAAGATAGTTGTGGTGGTGTGTTTGGTTGGCAAACAAACAGTTCGGGCTCTTTTTGACCAAGTAAGACATGAGACATTCACCGCTTCCTCGCTCTCGCTGGGGTTGCTAATTTGATGTTCTCCCGGTGGGCAAAAGCTTTGAGGGCACCATGTTTTTTTAAACAAACACGTGCATTCACAGGACATCCCCCCCAATTTTGGCCGGTTTCATTGTCTTGCCCCGGAATCCATGAGGCATCTTCAAGCTTGTCGCAAGTCCTTTACGGGAAACAGGTAATTCTCAGTTGTTCAAAGCCGACCTTTTGACCTTTTGGTTTCTCACTTTTGGTCCATATTTAGTCATGGTCCCAAAAGGTTAACCTTTTGGTTCCAGGTCCTTTGGGCAATTGAGAAGTCTGACTGTGGCTCGTATCAGTAGCTGAACACCGTCCCAAATGCTTGGACACACATCCCGCAACGATGTCTACCAAAGGCTCCCCAGTGAATGTTTGCATATGTGCTTGATTCAAAATAGGACCCATGAAATCGCAACTTTTTCCCTTGAACAACAACCCGAAAAAAAAGGGTGCCCCCCCCCCACAAAAGAAACAACAACAACCTTCAACAAAGGGTGCCTGCCTCCCCCCAACCCCCCCTCCAACAAAATCAAAGAGGCAAACAAAACAACAAACAAGACAAAACAAAACAAAAAGGGTGCCTGCCTCGCCCCAAACCCCCCCTCCAAAAAAAACGAAGAACAAATCAAAGGCAAACAAAACCACAAAGAAACAAACAAGCTAACTATCAAACAAACAAACACAACAACAAAGAAACAAACACACATCTTACCCCATCTGACTGAGGCATCTTCAACCAGGCGGAGGAGAAGACCTTGTTCCAGTCGGTGCGCTCGGGGGACCGGGCGGCCGTCCAGCGCCTGCTCACCGTGCAGGGCCACCTCGTGGAGGAAAGCCCTTGGGTGTGCGAGTGGCTTTCCGCCGAAAGGCTGGGAAAAGGGGAGCATTTTTCAGTTTTTATTCTTTAGTTTTTTGTTTTTTGGGGGGGCAGTGTTCTTTTGTTTTTTTTTGGGGGGGGAAGGGGGGGAAAGCATCCTTTCACTGGCTTCGCCGCGTTTTTGTTGTTTTGTTTTGGGGGGAGAGGGGGGGGACTGTTTTGTTTGTGGTTGGCTCGAAGGGGTGAAAAGGGCATTTTCCAGTGGCGACTGGGTTGTTGTTTTTGTTTGTTGTTTTGTTTTTCGTTTTTGGTTGGGCTCCAACTGTTCTTGTGCCGGTGGCGAGGTGGGGGCTGGCGGGGTGTACACGTGCTGGTTGAACTGGGAATCAACGGCTTTAGGCATAAAGCGTTTTGGATCCCAAGGAAACCTGCTGGACAAAGGGCATTCCCTGTTGTTTGTTTTTGGCGTTATTATGTTGGCTGTTATTTGTTGGATAAAAGTCAGTCTCTGGGGTTGTCACTTTTACCAGTTACGCAGCAAGCACTTCTTGTGTCCCCAATGAAAGTGCGATATGGGTTGGGCTCCAAGGACGTAAGACGTAACCATCCTCAAAAGGATCTAGAAAGTCTACCGGAAGGAGAGAAACATGGGACTCTGTGTGCAGTTTTTGGTTGGAAGTTCTTTCCCCAAGCAACAAACGAGTGTAAGATAAGGGCCTCACCGCGCCGTGATTGCACTCATGGTTCCTTATGCTCATGTCTTAACTTGGTAGTGTTTCTTTGCCTACAACCTGAGTATGTTGCCAACCTGCCCATGTTTTGTTCGCCCCCTGAACCGGGGGGTTCTTATACTTGTATATTATCCACCCGAACATTACCCCCAGCAAACCATGAAAGTGGACTTCTGAATCAGCTCAACTGCCCCCATTTACTCAGATGTTTTGCCTATCTTGATAATGAGAGTATATATATATATATGCTACCCCCCCCTCAACGACTCTGTTTTTTTTGGTGCAGTGAGTGCTTGACTGACAGATGGTAGCAGATGATTTGCTTGTGTTTGATTGACAGGTGACAGCAGAAGATTTATGTGTGTGTTTTTTTTGGTGCAGTGAGAGCTTCATTCAGTGGAACTTTACTTGGAAAGCAGGCAGTGAGACGCACTTCGCACTTTTTTGTTTTCTGCTGCAGAAAACTCTCCCTATTTCTGCACAAAAGGAGCCATTGCATCCTTCACCAGATCTCAAGTTTTGATCCAGAGATCTTGGCCCCGCATCCAGTACTCATACTGGGCTGAACGAATGCGGCTCCTGATTGCTTTGGACCCAGCTCGAACCCTTTGGTTCAATTTTAACCGGTCCTTAATAAACCGCCAAGCCCTGTCCGCGTGTTGGGTGCCTGCTTTTACCTTCAGCTGGGTTCCATCCCGGAGCCTGTGAGTCACCACTCGCACGTATTGCGGGGAGCTCCATTTCTTTTTCCCATTCTTGAGTGTGATCAGCTTCTTGCAGTGGACAACTGAGTCATGGTGCACGCCATCCACCTTGGCCTTGTAGGACTTTGCCGAGTCCGTATGCAGGATGACATGGCGGCCCTGCAAGTGCTTCTTGGCTAACGGGGCCCAGTCAATTTTGCGGATTGCCCCCGGCCCCGGAGCTCTCCGCACCGTCAAGGCTGGGCTAAGGCGTGACATGATGAGTGTAGATGGCTTGCCGCGGGCCATCATGCCACTCCATTGCTCCCACAGGATGGGCTTGCCTGCCTTGACCGCCTCCTTGTACGCGACGTCCTTGGTCATATCTGCTTTGTCAAAGGCGCACTCATCAGCTTCCACATCCTGCCACTGCTTCTTGCCACCAAATGAGATCTTCTTCTCCTCCTGCTCGACAAAGAGCTGCCTGGTATGCGCTAGGCTGGATCTCATTTTTTCAATGAGCTTGTGATTCACACCCAAGGCCAACCTGATCTGGGTGTGGGAAGCACCAATGAGGATCATGAAGAGAACTGCCGCCTGCATCTGCAAAGGAGTAGAGCCAGGGCCACGGCCAGTAGTGAAGAAGGGATGCAAGTGCAGCGGGCTGACAATACGTTTGCAATGATAGTTGTTGCATTGGTACTTTGCACTGCCGCAATGCATCTTGGATGCAAGAGTGCCTTTCCAGCATTGGGGGCAACGCTTACCGTGCCATTTTGGAAGGATGCCGTCCTTTTCCAAAATCTTGGTAATCCCACTGTTGCTAGCACCCAGGATCTCAGCGAGGTTGCGCTTCCACTTAGCTCGATCCATGCGAACACCAGCTGCTGGTACATCTCGGTGACCTCGCACGTACTTCACTTTGTTATACTCCTTGCTCTTCTTCGTGGCTGGCCTCTTGTGGACACGACGGAGCTTCCCCCGCTTGCTCACAACCCCGGGGTTGAGTCGAGCTGCCATGTCACAATCGCAGTAACTACGAGCCCTAGGTGATTCAATGGCAACACAGTGCAAGGCAAGTCGGAAATCAATCAAGGTTGCACTTGCAATTGCAGTCTTGCAGCGAGCTTATTTTTTTCCGCGGGCACACAGCTTTCATCTTTGAATTTGAATTTTATGGCAGTAGTAACCACTACTCACCAAGCAAGAGTATAGATTCTCGCAGCATAGCCCAACACTCAGAACTCAAGCAGGTTCACGCTCTAGTCGTGGAGAAAGTGGCTTGCATCCTCGTCTGCAGCAGTGTCCTCCATGTCGGCTGTTTCTGCTGCAGCCAGAAGCTCTTCAGGCTCTGCACATTGGTCGGCATTTTGCGGTTGTGGATCACCAGAGGCAACAGATGAGGCTGCTCCTCCCCCGCAAGAGATGAGCAAGCTCGTTTTGTGCCGGAGGCCCTTGTCCGGCTTGGAGTCTGGGTAGATGAAGTCGCCCTCTCGCAAGCGCTTTGGCGCGTTGCAGCCGATGTTGAGAGGCACCGGCGGCAGGAGAGGCGGGTCCTCTGAAGACTGAGAAGTTGGCACAAAGGAGCTCTCTGGGATGCGGGCCACCTGCTTGAGAGCTTCTTTGAGATCTTTGTTGCATCTCTCCACATAGTCTTGTGCTCGGCCTGCCTGCTGTAGCTTCATCATGCCTTCATCGATGATCTTCTGCTCCTTCTCCACCTCGCTCTCATAGTAGCTTCCCTTCACCATATCACCCAGCTTATACGCAGCATACACAGGCTTGTCCTTGGTGGCAAGGAGATCTTTGTGAACATCGTCTGCCACAATGCGATGGACAAGGGCACCATAGTTGGGGGACGGGAAGCGCAAGTAGAGACCATTCTGCCCGAAGACCATGACAATTGTCCGCTTAAGCACTGCCAGCACGTCTGCTTGCTTGGACTCTGGAAATGTTTTGCGGAGCAACTTGAAGAACTCGTCGGGCTCGATGTCACTGCGGTAGGTGTCCTCAGGCTCATCCCCCTCACCGATGTCGTTGGAAGCATATGCCCTCATGCCATTTCTGACCAGCCTGACATCATTGTACCTGCCTGAGCAAGTCTGGTCTTCATCCGCAGTAAGGAACGATTTCATGTCGGCTAGATCGATCTTGTCCCTGGAAGGATCATCGAGAAAGACGGCCTCTTGTACCTGGGGGACTCGATGCCTGAAGTTGTCGAGAGATTTGGCTCGACGCCAGCCCGGCGAGGCTGTCAAAGAGAGACGCCGGACGTGGTAACGTCCAATTGCCATGGCAAGGGTGATCAAACAGGGTGTCTTGCCGACGCCTGGTAAGCCCACCATCATGATGCCATAAGTCAGCAACATCGGCATAACCATTGGCAAAAGAACATCAGACATGAAGGGCTTCAAGCTGAACATGGTGAGGGGGAAGTCAGTCTCAGGCTGCGCTCCGGCCAGGCCACGGCTTTTGTTTTGCGCCCTGAATCTGACCTTTGCTTCTGGCCACCCAGAAACTGGTGTGCCAGAGCCCTCCTTGATGGAACATAGGATCCAATAGGTCTGTTCATTCTGCGAGTCACATTCTGGTGCATTGGCATTGATGAACAAGATGCCCTCCTTAAGCGCCTCGTCATCAGGTGCCCACTGAGAAGACTGAGCCCTTTGGAGAGGAGCCTTTTTTGTCAGGCTCGCCCACATCACGCGAAAGCCGGGAAGACGATCCAGTAAGGACTGGACAGCTTTGCGATGCGCCCATGGCCCAGGGCGTGACACAGGCACGAAGCCCTCTCCTGTGATCAGGCGCTGGGCGGCAGCAGCAGTGATCTTGTTGGCGAAGTGCAGAATTTTGATCAGAGACATTGTTCCATCATGGTGGTTTTCGATGATGACGCCCATGGTTGCCTTGGGAGGAAGAGGCCCTTGAAGACGTAGTGGAAAGGGTACATCTGCGATGTTGCCTTGTGACAGAAGCTCCCCAATCTGAGCAAGACCGCTAAATTCTGGCACATTCTTGTGGACATCGAAGGCTATGGAGGTCACTTTCGCTTCGTTCAAGTTGCGACATGAGTTGTCCAAGAAGTCTGACAAGAGGATGGGTTCTGAAATTTCCCCACGAGAGTGCCAAGCCATTTTGGGGGTGGTGTGGGTCTCATACACCCACTCTTTGCCGGAGTGTAGGGCCATGGCATCGTCTAACATGCTGGACATGGAATAAGAAGATGGTGTGCCTTAGGGGCAACTACTTGGGAACTCTAAGCTGGAAAGCAACAGGTTCACATATCAAACTCAGGAATGTCATGCATTCGTGCAAGCCATGATGTCCTGCTGCAAGCTACCACATCAAAAGGCAACCAAAAGCAGACATCTTTTTTGTCACCTCTCACAGGAGCAGATCCGGACAAGAGTATGTGCACATGTATAGTACCGTCTGCCAATGATGGCTATGTTACTTACAGAAGATTCTGAATACAGCTTGACAGCTATACAGGCTTCTACTTCCTGGCCCTCTTTGAGGCACGCTCCTCAGCCAAATGTGCCCTAAGCTCTTCAAGTTCGCACTCATATTGTTGAATGTCACCCTCCAAGATCTCAATGCGAGCGTGAGCCTCTTGCAACTCAAGCTCCTTGAGCTCGAGTTGCGCGGAGACACTCTCATTGTGAGCTCGTGTGGGCGTAGATGAATCTGAAGACGACGAGCTTGAAGAGGAGGAGTCGTCGCCTGAGTCCTCAGAGTGACCTTGATTATTCTCAGGCATGTCTTGGTCTTGGTGGGGTGGCTCTTGACTGGAGAGGCCCGCATCCTTTTCGGAGATCACCTGCTGGTCCTCAGACACGTCCTCATCCTTTTCGGAGATCCCATGGTGGTCCTCGGAAACACCCTCATCCTTTTTGGAAACACCCTGCTGGTCCTCAGACACGTCCTCATACTTTTCGGAGATTCCATGGTTGTCCTCGGAAACACCCTCATCCTTTTTGGAGACACCCTGCTGGTCCTCAAACACACCCTCATCCTTTTCGGAGATCCCATGGTGGTCCTCGGACATGCCCTCATCCTTTTCGGAGGTCCCCTGGTGGTCCTCGGCCAACTGCTGCTCTTGCTGGACTGGGGCGTCTTGGATTGGCAGCGGGTCCTGGGTGTTTGCGTCCAGGATGGCCAGCCGGTCACGACGCTTGCGTCCCCGAACATGGCCCTTAGGTGCTTGCAGGTCACGTAGAAGCTTCTCGTGACACTCCTCTGTCCACCTGCCCATGTGGCCCAAGGGCTCGATGTTCAGAGTTTTCTGTGTGTTGTACATCATGGAACGCAAGGCGCGTTGATCCAATGGAAGCCGGCTGTCATGAATGTTGATTGCTCCGCGTTCGTGTTGTTCAAGAACTTCATCTAGAGTGACCCGAGGCTTCTCCTTGTCGACTTTGTAAGCTTGGGATGAAGCAGGGCTAGACGCTGGTTGGATTCGCAGCTCGGCTGCGCCATTGGAGAACCTGACCTTGCCAACCACGTCAAAGGAAGCCATGGCAGAAAGAAGGAGGAGACAGACAATAAGGACTTGAGCTGCCTGAGAGCTGAGTATAGCAGAATTTCGACTCTCTTGGCAAGATGCAAAGGCCAAGTCTGAGCGGAGGAAGGGAATAAGGGGAATAAGGATCCTTATTCCCTTATTCCCCTCAAACCCAAGAACCCAAGAACCCAAGATGCACAGAGGACTTTTGGGAGCAATCTTGGGTTTGAAGGTAGAAACGGGAATAAGTGGAATAAGGATCCTTATTCCCCTTATTCCTCTCAAACCCAAGAACCCAAGAACCCAAGATGCACAGAGGACTTTTGGAAGCAATCTTGGGTTTCAAGGTAAGAACGGGAATAAGCATCCTCATGTCCCTTCCTTTTTTCTTGGGCTGCCAACCCAAGATTGCTCCCAAAAGTCCTCTGTGCATCTTGGGTTCTTGGGTTCTTGGGTTTGAGGGGAATAAGGGGAATAAGGATCCTTATTCCCCTTATTCCACCCCTGGGCTGACAACCCAAGATTGCTTCCAAAAGTCCTCTGTGCATCTTGGGTTCTTGGGTTCTTGGGTTTGAGGGGAATAAGGGGAATAAGGATCCTTATTTCCCTTATTCCCCCCTGGGCTGACAACCCAAGATTGCTTCCAAGATTGCTTTCAAAGTCATGCAGCCAAAAAAATCAGAGTCAATGGGGGGGGGGTACCATATATATATATATGTATATGTCATGTGGGTGTCAGGGATACTCCAGGGTGGAGCCTGGAGACTGAGGCCCCTAAATGTAAGAATGGGTTTGTGTGCCACTACCTGTGTGTATTTTTGAGGCTACCCTTTCAGCTTGGTTTAAAGGGAACCAACGGATCACCAGAAATTATTCGGGTACCCCGATCTTGACACACCTGGAATGGCTTTCTTTCGGAGGTATGGCGTCAAGGCATAAGGGCGAACCAGTGAGTGCTCTACGCTTCCCTTTGCGATTCAAACATGAGGCTTTGGCTCAATTGAACTAGGGTTCTTATCTTGGCTGATCAAAGTCAGAAAGTGGGCGTATTTCACTTTGATTCATTACGTGGGAGTTGGCATGGATGTTTAAATAATGGGGCCAGTTGTGGATTGTCTTTGTGGTGGAGGGATGGTTCTATGCCAAACAAGCCTGTAAAAGTCGGTGGAGTCCATATTTCATAACACGAGGAGCTGACTGATTACCAAACATGTCTCTATGATCATGCCCGTTCAAAGTCTTGCTTAGGCTCTTACAGCTTAAGGGAAACCACAATCGGAGGGAATGAATCCAATGTTTTGCCCCCCAGTTGGGATGCCGTTTTACCTTCACGTTTTACCCTCGGCTTGATCTGAGGCGACTCGGATGGCAACACCGCGTTGCACATCGCAGTGATGAAGACCATCAAACAGCAGAAGGAGGTGGTGAAGCGCCCCGGAGAGCAATCTGTCGACTACGGCAAAGGGGATGGCATGGGGAAAGTCCCCCCAAAGACCTTTACAAAAAGGGGCTCATCTAAATCCACAGTCACCTCGTACTGCACCAGTTGGCATGGAAGCAACTACTTGGATGAACCGCCTGGATTTGCCCATCCACAGTATGGAAATAGTGACTCTCAAAGACCAGGGCAACGGACTTCTCTTGGCTCCCCTTGCTATGGCATACCTTTTGGCCCCAATTCAATCTTGCATCGTTGATACTCTGTTGCCCAGTGGTGCCCTTTTTCCCCTTTTTTTGGGTAAGGGTTCCCCTTTAAACTCGCGCAACAACAACAAGGTGCCCTGGTTTTTTTTGCCCATGGAAATCCACTGGGTATTTGAGGGTATGAGCATCCAAGGACACTACTGGACCACAAGGCGGTGCTCCTTCAGAACAAGAAGGGCCAAACGCCTTTGCACTTGGTGTGCCAGCGCCACTCGGCAGCAGACATCGTTGCACTCAAAAACTCTGTTGCCCAGTGGTGCCTTTTTTTTTCTCCTTTTTTGGGTAAGGGTTCCCCTTTAAAGTCACCCAACAAAAAAAGGGGGCCCGTGTTTCTCATGGCCGACAGAGTCGCTGCTTTGGTCTTGGAAAGATTGCCAAGTCTTCTTTGGGTAGCAATTTGGTTCGGTTGCCTTTGGCGAATGGAGAGCCACGGCCTCGATGGGGTTTCTTGTTGGCAGCTCTTGCAGCCACAGCTGATGCGCCTCAGAATTGGTGTCATGCTGGGATGCTTCCGGGCATTGGGGCCTGAGCACAACCTCCTATTTTACGAAACACTGAATCCGCTGCTGCATCATGTTTTAGGCAAATTGAAAGTTACCAGCTACCTGCTATCTTGGCCGAGCACCCAAGTAGCTCAGGAGAAGCATGAAGCCTATCAAACCGTATATTTATTCATTTTGTGTCCCCTTCAAACAGCACAATCCACCTACACCAGGCCTAACTCCGCTTGGTTCAAAGGTTTGACAGGGTTCTCCCGTGTTGTTAAGGGTTGTGGTGAGGCTTCAATCTTTTTGAAGCACGCGGTCCTCCTTAAGGTGTAAAGACAGCCTTCCCGAAACAACCAATTGTCAGGTTTGTTTTTTCAGATAGCCTGGGCCCTCAACCTCGACCCGTGGCCGCTGGGGTCTGGGTAGGGGCCCCTGGGTTGAGGTCGGTTTCCCTCACATCCACCGGCGGTTTGGACAGATTATGCAAACGGATGCCACCTGGTTTAGCAGTCGACTAGTTCGATTAGAGCGGTGTACCTCGGTTTGGAAATCAACATGATTCAAGAACATGGTTATCAGTCGTTGGGTTCGACAGCTTTTGAAGGTGCCTGACCGAACTGTCGTTGAAGAACATCAGCATCATTGCCGGGGGATTTTGAGGTTTTTGGGGGGTTGACCCGGCTCAAAAGAAGCACTGCAGCATGTCGAGCGTAATTTGTTATCACTGCTCCCTCTCCGTTTGTTTGAGGTTGCCTTGCAATGCTGAAGGCTTGTGTGTTTGAAGCAAAGTTTGCCTTTTGGCCCCCGGGGTTTCTTCTCCGTCAACTGCTTTGAGTATCTTAGAGAGGACATGACCATGTGGCCAGCGTGGCAGGGCATTGTTTTAAATGAATGTTTCTCAAAGGGAATTCAATAAGATTGTTCAGATTCTCAATGTCCTAAGCGTTTGGTATACATGTTGTTTCTCCTTGAACGCACTTCCTGAGTGCATGGCCTCTCAACAATTTGTTGACCATTTTAGTGGCAAACGATCAGTTTAGACAATTGGCCACGCCACGCCACCGAATTCAGCTAAAAAGCTACCATGATCTGGTTGGAAGGCAAGTTTTTGGCCAGCCGGTTCCGTTCCGCGAAAACAGAAGAAGTGTCCCTCGCGGCTTATTCTTGTTGACCCCAGTGAATTCTCCAAAAGTGAAGATTCCCCACTAAACCCAGGGACACCCCCATTAATAAAGAAAGCGGGACGCTGGAGCGTGCGCTTGTTTCACGTTTTGAATGGAAACTCACGTTGAACTATGTTTGTTGGAATCTTAGCTGAAGTTTAAATAAGTTCGATTGGACAGAACATGCTGGGTATATTATCATGTTAAATGGACTCACTCTAATTTAAGGTCTATTATAGCATAGAAGTGATTGTTGGATTCATTCTTACATTATGCTTCAACTCTAGGATTATGACCTTATATGTACGTAGTGTTCTATTGGGCAATGATTCCCCTGTAAATTCTGAAAGTAAGATGTAATTTCCAGTAAGATTCTGATCAAGTATTTCCTTATTGAATCCATTTGAATCCTCCAAATTCAATCCAACCTTTTAGAGAGCAGCCGTTGGTGGAGATGTGAAATGAGTACGAAAAACGCTACCAAACACTGTGTTGTGTGATGTTTTCTGGCCGTGGTAGCGTGGGGGCTAGTAAACAACAACAAGCACAATTTCGGGACCCCTGAATTCTTTGCATCTGAAATCTACTTAATATCTTTATGAACATTTACTCAATTGATTGCTGAAATTAAATATACATTGTAAATTGGAAGACTTCGATTTGTTAAAATCGATTTGTAAATTATGACTATTGTGTTTTAAAAAATATATTGCTACACTGGAGTGCCTTTCCAATAGAATTGCCCTTACAAATCAGTAAGCGTCTCAACAACATGCATTTACCATTTTCCGGACCTCCAGTTTCTTTCCTTATGAATTCTTCCTGATATATTTCTCAAGTTCTACTTACTATCGATATCATATCTCACATTAAATAACATTTAATAAGGACATAATCCAAACATACATTTTAGTTTAAAGTATAATTTAATTAGTGAGTATTCTGTTTCAAAATAGATGCTACGCAGGACCTCCTTTCCAATCCCATTGTCTTTGCACATGGATGTGTCCAACAATTTTGGGACCTCTACCGTCTTTCTTGTGAACTCTGCTTAACATATTTACCAAGTTCTACTTATACAATTCTAACTAGATTAAGAATAATGTAATATGGAACGAGTCCAACCAGAGGAAACCATCTCTAACTTACTGTACTAGGGCTTGGTGAACTACACCAGCGCACTTGATCACAGAAGCTCTTGCAAACAGGCCGGAAACGGTACAGTACAAAAACGACTCGAGACAACCAACACAAAGCATATTATGCTGTCCCCCAGTCAGGACAGCTGATAGTGTCCTTTTTGTTTGTTTTCTGTTGGTTTTGTCGAGGTTTTGCGCACGTTTCCAAAGAATTGCAAAAACACATCTGTGTTTCCTGAAAGAAATCAATAGAATCACACAAATGCGCACGCTCAGGGTGACCTGTTATGTTAATAAACTGGGGTTAGTTCATGTGGGGGTGCAACCGAGACTTCCGGTTTGAACCGAGGATGCGCTCAGTTGGCGCATCAGACGGGCGACGCGTGGCCCGAGGGGGATGTGTGGGACCACCGCAGGAAGTTCGAGCCCTTTAAGGACCCGCGCTGTGGCCCCTCCCTTTTGCTAGGACTAGGTCCCTACTCCCCCCTTACCCTTTTTGGGGGAGGGGTCCCCTACTACAATAGACTACAGAGAAAAAGGTGCCCTTATTCTAACCTCTCTACTGGAGGACCTAGAGGAGCTGGAGAGAGTTCATGCTAGACAAGTGGTATTGCCCAAGAGGAAGTCAACAAATCTTGGGGAGCCCTATTTTGCGCAACCCCTCAAGCTGGAGTTACAGGGTCCATATATTTCTCCTTTGGGTTGGTTAAACACACCACACTTTTAGGCCCATTCAGAGGGGGATTGTTTGTAGAAATCTTGAGTCATCACTGGGTGCAAAATGGCACACTGCGATGTGATGTGTGCAGGGCTCACGAATTTCTGGTTTTCTTGCGTTCTGCCATGTGACCATTGATTCCCAAGTGAGGGTAGCACATGAGTGTGGATTGGCCCTGAAGGAAAGCCGTGAGCATCTTGTTGTTTTTTGCAGAGGGCTCTCTGAAAGGGGAGGTTGGGGGGGGGGAATGAGTCGACGGTGCCTGGGCCCGTTGTCCCAGCACCGAGTGGAGGGAGCAATGAAACGTTGGCGATTTTGCAGATCGACATGCAGCCTTCAGGAAAAAACTGGGTGCCAAGTAGGAGAACCCCATCAGAGTCCTCATCTGTCCCTTTAATCAATTTCAACGGGCAATCAGGTGATGTGTCTTGTCAAAACAGGGTTCGGAACCCCGGACGTGGTGTCCAAATCTGTTTCATAGGTGAACATGGTAAGCCTCGAAAATCTGCGCACCCGAATGCTGGCTTCTTGGACTTTGATTTTCAGGATTCTACCAAGGGACCAAGAACATGTCAGGTTGTTGTTGTTCTTCTGAACAGGTTTCGCAGGGGTCGCAGAAATTACAAGTCTGCATGACTGTGTACTTGTTTCAGGCAAGATATGTTTTATAGCCTTGTTTGTGTTTGCTGAAGATTGAGAAGGAGCCGCGGATTCCCCATATTTATCGGTCCCCGATATTGGCACATACCCTCCCACCAATTAACATGGAAGTGCAAAAAGCTCTTTCCAAGAGGAAAATTGTCTTTCTACAGGGGTCTGTGCACCAAACCATGTTAGCTGGTGGGAGGGTATGTGTTTATAGGCTTGTTTGTGTTTCTGAAGATTGAAAAGGAACCCCGGACTCCCCATGTTGATGTTGATTGACACATGCTCAAAACCGAGCTCGGCCTTCCCTTTTTTTCCCTCTCGTGACTTCCTCGCGCGGCAGGACTTGACGCAGGATGACGACGACGAGGACGGCAAGGATGAGAGCACCGTCCTCATCCAGGTGGCCTTTGTGATGCTGGAGCTCCTTGGATTTGATGGCCGGCGAAATGGCTGTGGGTCCCCCAGGTGCCACCTTTGACCGTTACGAAAATGAACTACAGGACAAAGGGCACACAAATTCTAACTGGCTGAGTACCTAAAAGTGTTGCATTGTTCTTGGATGGTTCACCAAAAACTGACCCATGGCTCGAAGGGAAAGAGGCTCCTCCAGGGCCCAAACGGAAGGATGTCGACAAGGGGGTGGGGGTTGCCACTGGTGCTAGGGATGCCGGCTGGGCCAAATAAAAAATGCATCATGCACAAATGCCAGCTAATTTTAAGGATCCAGAAAATTTTGGGATGTATCCTTAAACCTCTTAGAAGATTTCTTTGTTCTTGAGAAAGGCTCCTGCTTCCATGTTCGCTGGTGAGAGGGGAAAAACGATTCAGGGCTGGGCGATTCAACCACAAAACCTGTAACGTTGGTTTAAGCCAAAATTCCTGACCCTGGTTTGCTACTGTATGGTTTCCAGGGAAAAAGGATAGCCCGAATTTGAACAACCCCCCATATGGCGTTTCAACTGCCTTTTTTGAGGGACCCCATCCAATGAAACTCAGAGGTTTCCGTTTGGTTCCCCAAACAGACAAAAGGGTGCACTCACAAAAGACACCCATAGTCTGCAGCCACTCCTGAGCCAAAAGCTGGCCAGACCCAATCCGGTCCAATTGAGGTCATTGGTGGCAGCGGGCCCGGATGAGCTGATCCACGTGCTGGAGATGCAGACGAACGAAGAGGTGATCGCTTTGATGGGGTTGTCTTAGAATGGGTGTGTCTCAAAATAGGGAAGCTCCCAAATTTTGTGGGTTACCTTCATTCTCCTGTAAACCAACCCCATAAGAAAGGGTATCCTTATATTTATGCATGTGTGTGTTTTTCAGGGTACCCATTTCCAGGTTGGATTAAAGAGAGACCAAATTCTAAGACCGCCATGTGGGTCTTAGTCCCTATTTGATGCACCAAAAAGGGCTGACCAGCCATTGTGCTTGTGGGTTGGATGGGACCCCAAGTGAACTGAGTGTGGCTTGAACCAAAACCGAAAGTGTTCCTTTAACCCAAAACGGAAAGGGTTTACCCAGGTAATCAAGGGCTCGCCCCCTTTTCAGGCTCCTTTGGTCGTTACCCCCCCCCCCCCCCCCGCAAAAACTGGTTTCCTGCTGTTGCGTCTTTAGAACCAACCCCAAAGGGGGTTGATTCATCCGAACAAAAGCAACCTTACATGTGTAGCTTCCAAAGCTCTGAACTCTACGTTGCCTGGTTTCATCCTTTGAGTCCAGGCTAAAATCTTGTCTAGCTTGCTGATTCTCAGTGGGAAACCTCATGTAGGTGTTGGGAGTAAACCGGGGGATGCCCTCAAAGGAACCCACGACATGGTTTTATAGGCACGTTTATCTTGCTGGTTCTCAGGGAAGTGAATGAACCAATTAACCCTATTGGCACCCGTAACGCTTATTCTTTGCCTGCCGGTCTTTTCAAATTCATTTGTGCTTGAGTGCTCCTGCTCAGCGCAAGGTGGCATCATCACATTCAGCTGCAGCAGTGCAGTGGTTCGGTTCAGCCGCGGGTTTCGGTTTAGGGTGTACGTAAGGCTTAGTTGTTTTTTTTAGGTTTAGGGTTTGTTTAGATTTAGGGCTAAAGGTTTGCATTTAGAAGTAGCGTTTGGGTTCCGGATTTAGGTCTACTGTGTTTGTCGGTGGTGCCTGTTTGTTCACTTAGGCCCTAGTACAACCTTCGATTGGACGCGTATTGGTGGATTTCCCGCCACTCAGCCACTCAGCCACTTCGAGCGGCTGAGTGTCAGAGTGGCTGGGGGTCAGAGTGGCTGAGTGACTTGGATTCTGAGTGACTGAGTGAGTGGTTGGGGGTGAGGCCAAGCCACGCAGCCACACCCAGCCACCACTCAGACCCAAAGCCACCACTCCAAGTGGCTGAGTGGCTGAATGGCTGCGGATCAGTTTCCACCCGGATTGCTCATCCTCTCCTTAACGTTCGTATTTGGCACACTTCATGCTTGAACAGCTCGTTTGCAGCACGGCACGCTTCTCAGCATCAGAACCAAGCGGTAGGCCACGACGCCCGGGGGTGGGGGGCAGGACAGCCCAGAAATACTATGTTGCTCACGCGTCGCTCCTCGCTCCGTTTATTTCTGCGAGGCAGTTGTTGTGAGCGGGCATGTGTTAGCGAGCTGCAGCGGAGCTAAAAGACAGTTGCTGCGCGCAACAGAGCGTCCTTCATCCTGCGCTCAAAGCATGCCACGCGGCAATTTCGTCGTCGTTTGTTGCACGCAAACGACTTGCACAAAGCCACGTTAGAAACCTTTCTGAAGCGCAGCCATCCTACCGTCAAGCACAGCGTTTGTTGCAGCGCGGCGCTTGCTCTTGCTCGAGATGTACCGCCTCAGGTCAAACAACCAAGCACGGGTTACAAGCTGACAAGCCTGGCAAACAGGCAGCCGCTGCGCGCGTGCCTGCTCACGCGTGTGGGCCAGCCATTCCGCTGCAGAGCTTTTTCGTCGATCTGAGTCAGATGATCTGAGTTTTTGCGTTGCCAGTTGAGCTGGTAACGCTGAAAGCGCAATTGAACCAGTGCTCATGTCAAAGGGTCTGCGCGAGATCCGAGTTAGGAACATTTTGGGACACGGCGCGCATACAGTCTGCTCCTGCTGACATGAACGCGCTTGTCCTACGCAGCGTTACGCACTGCTTTGTCGACTACCAGCTCGCTGCTTTGCAGCTACGGGGCCCAGTGTTATTTGCACGTTCCCCGTGGCATGATTCTTGCCTAGTCACCTCAACTGCTCCACGCTCAAGGCTGTCTCGCTTGCTCCCGCGCAGTGCTGTTTCTACGTCAAACCGAGAGCAGTAGACTTTGACTGCAGTTGGCGCAGCAAAAGCCGAATAGAGATTGTGCCTTTGTGCCGCAGGTCCCGTGGTTGCCGGTTGGAGCGCTGCCGGTGTCATTGCTGCATCACATGTGAGCTACTTGTAGCAGAGGCATTGCAACTGCAGCTTGCGCTCTTTCATTGACCAGCGTCGCGTCGAAACATGGGCCAAGTACTCATTGCCGTACTTGCCAGGAGGTGCCTGTACTCCAGAACTAGCTGGCTTGCCGTGCACTTGTTTGCCATGAGGGAGTGGAGATGGTGGGGGCTTGGCCATCTTAAAGCCAAAGGTATGGCCTTTGACGTGCTGTGTCGCCGGGGCCAGCAAGTCGACGCAGAGAGCTGGGGAGAAAGAGGCCGGCGGGCGGAAGAGGTTGCGCGTGTGGCGCCGGTTTTTGCTTGCTGTTTCTTCTGCTCACGGCGCACTATGTTGGCGTCTTGTCTGACGTCGCCTTGCTTGAGAGGAACGGCAACGCATGCAAATCAGAGCTGGAAGCCGCGGTGAGCTACTGGCACGGCGGCTCAAGCCACGCACTCTGGAGCACAAGCTGCAGGAGCCGAGTTTGCCGATGATGTAGGCGGTGGTTAGTGAGAACTCCCGCAGGCGCGCCAGCGCAGAGCTTGCTTGCTTTCGCATTGCGTGCCATCGTCGCATTTGCAACACATCAGGATCTATGCGCCACGCTTCTGGCAGCCCAATTTCCAGCACAGCCCGGTTGACCAGGTTTCCTGGTGAAGATGCAGAGCAGAAAGCGCGCGCGTGGGGGAAATGGCATGTCGACCTGCAGAAAGATTGGCGAGCAAAGCTGTGCTGGTCGCAGCAGGGCTGCCACATGTACCAGCGCTTGAGCGAGGCTGTGCGGGCGAAGAAAGTTGTTTTTGCAACAAGCAAGACTGTGGCTGGCGCTCGGACCAAATCAGCTAGTTGCTCCACTTGCTCAAGGCCGCAGGCCAGATGTCGCTCGAGCGCGTGACACGCATCGTGCGGGAATGTGCCCGGCCGTGTTTAAATTCGGCAGCTAAACGCAGCTTCTTTTGCTTCTTTCCGTCTGCCATTTAGGTCGCCGGCTTGGGTTGGGGTAGGGTTTATACTTTTTGGCGTTGGGCTTAGTTTTAGGGCCAAGGTTCTGGGTCAAAGGTTTAGGTTTAGGGTTGAAGTTTAGGCTCTGGCACGGCTGGGCGGCCAGGGCAAGGGTGGGCATTGGCTGCGCTTTATCCCAAGATATCCCAAGCAAGCCCAACTTGTGTGAGTCAAACACACACCATGATCGAAAAACCAAATGGTTGCGAACTCAATCCTGCCACCAGCCCCTCCGGCGAAGGGGGAGACCGCCTTCGACTTGGCCGCCTCGGCTCTGGACGCCGCGAGCTTTGGGGATCTGGAAAAGCAGCCCCATCCATTGAGGTGCTTGGGGGCTCGCCAAGCGCGCTAGGGCGGCGGGAGCGGTGCATCCATGTGACCCACTGGCCGATATTGGGGCTGATGAATAATCATGGCCATGAAGATTATACTGCACTCAGGTCCATTTGGTGGAAAATTTGCAGCAGCATAAAGCAAAACCAGCCTTTCCTAACGCTACGCCACGGATCCCAGCCCATCCTGTAGCACACCCTTCCAGTTCGGTACGTAGGATCAATCGTCGATGGGCACTGGTGGCTGCTGAAGTGAGAAACGGTGAATCTGTTCACCATCCACTGCCGAGGGTCACGGGGCATTCTCAACAAAGTACAGGTGTTGCCGTTTTTTGTCAATTGAGTAGGGGCATGTTCAACTCCCATTTGCACATTCAACGCGCAGCCGAGGGTAAAACTAGCGATTGTTTGCTGGCAGATTCCTGATTTGGCCTCACTGCCCTGAGGCATATTTCAACACCCTCCCTCCTTTTGGAAGACACTCCATGTACATCGTTCTACGACCTCCAGGCAATTTCCTTTAGGTCTGTGTAAGCCGCAACTTGTCTTACAGTACAGCATATACCAAGGTTGCTCTGAGCCCGCAAGGGTAGATGATCGGTTTCCGTTCAGCTCCCGTGTGCCAGGGCGCAAATGTCTACCCGCCAGAGTCTTTGTAGCAACCCATGTTGGGAAAGTATGTGCACTACTGAAATAGCGGTGAATCCTGAAGTTTGTTGTCGGACATCGTAGCTGGAGCGGCTGGTGTCCTTGGTGATTCGTGTATTTTGTTTTGGCTTGTACTTGGTTTGTTTGTATTATCGTGTAATCTGCTCTTTTTTAATTTCTTGCAGGATCTAACGTATCATCTCCATAATTTATGGCTGTGTCCCAGTGTATGGTTGTGCTAATGGTATGTCATCATGTGCTGTGTTTCCAGTCGGGCTGTTGGACCGGCCCGTGGTTTTGCCATGAAGGTTGCTATCTTGGTCGATTTGGGTGTGTCCTTTTTTGAAGGTACTCCTTTATCCAAGGCAAACCGAAAGGAAACTACCTGCATTGCAAGACACGCACGCACACACGCATCTGCAGTTCGGTTGGTGAACGAGAATGAATAAGTCACTCAACGGAAATGCAGTTGCACTTATTGTTGCGAGCCGGGGGTCTACCTAATTTTGGGTGTAAGGTGCTACGACACCAACTTAACGCACGCGTATATGGGTGTGGGTCAAAACCTAAGGTGCCTTTATTGGGATGGTTACCACTCCACTATTGTCTTTTTAGAAGGCTTGCTGGGTGTTCACCGGGGCACCGAAGGTTTTGACCCACAGCCATCGTCTATTTAGCTCCCTCCGATATGTCACCTTGTATATAGATTGATTCACCGTGAATTCAGCTTTCCTTCTCAGCGGCAAGTTGTGCTCACATTGCCTTCACCCATGCAGGCGGCTCATGCACCGGGCCTTCCTGAAAGCCTTGAGGTCTTTGCCAGGAGCGGATCCGGGGACAGGCCCCAGCCCAGAAACGCAAATCGCCCACATGAAACCAGAGGAGCCGTTTGGGTGAGGTCTCCTGCAAGACTCTTTTACATGGAGTAGATCAATGTTGAAAGGATGTGGGCCAAGGATTGGCTCCGCAAGCCAGCAAGCTAGTTTTGCTGGCAGAAGTTTGGGTCTGTGTGCAGGTGTCAAGTGCACCTTGTTTCCCTTTGACCGAGGGATATGGTAAAGTAAGAAGGGCTTTGATAGCGACTTACCAAGTTTGTTTCTATAGAAGTCATACAAGAGTTCAATAAAATAGGTCAGCTGGGATGCCGGGCGCTTCCTGGTGGTGTCGCAGTTCTGCGGTTTGAAATTGTTTTCCTCTAAGCAAAGATTGAAGATTTCCCAGAAAACAGGCATCAGAGATTCCTCAATCCTGACCAGCCCTCAAAGCCCCCAGAAACGTTAGTGCCCAGATGGCCTTTCTATTGAACAAAACCCAGCGCTCAGGAGGCGCCCTCTCGTTTGCACCTTATCTTTGCTTGATACATTAGAATCCGCCCCCAACCTTGTCGCCCTCTCGACTGCTCATGACACAGGGGCTTCTTTGGGTAACCCAAAGTTTGTTAGAATGTTGGTGCCAGGGCAAGATTTCAACTTTCAACAAGTCTTTTGGCTCACGGTTGGGCAACACTCAAAAACAGAGTAATGGTCCTTTAAGGGAAGAGCAGGTTGGAATCTCAGTGGAACATGGCTGAATAGGTGCCACTTTGGCAGTGAACTGGGAGGTTGAATGGGGGAGAACTACCACATTGTTGAGGGGACTTACCGGGGGTATGAACCACGCGCTAACTGTGCAGATCCTCGAAAATCAGGGTCACAATGCCTTCTGAAAGGCTTATTCTGGCCCCACCCCCAGCTACAAACAAAACCCTGGCAGATGAGAGGTAATCAGTACAGGCCAGTCCCAACCAGAAACAGGTGTGGACATCCGCCCTTGACTCTTTACATGGATTCGGGTAGAATCCGCCCTTGATTCTTTACACGGACCAGCTTTCGTACTTTTGGCTCGAAAGGAAGCACTCCGCTGCCGGGCAAGCGCTTCGTGACCTTGCTCCACCTCGCGGTCCTAATGCAGAGCAACAAGGCGGCGACGGCAGGGAATTTTCGGCACGTGTGGTACCCTCCGGTCCCGAGTTATGTCCCGTTTTGGTGCTTTTAGACGTCACCGGTTTGGCAAGTTAAGGTGAGCCTTCCTTCGTAAGATGTCTTGAGGGGAAATATCGAGAGCCCTGCCCCAGGCGTTTGGAGGACACGGTTCCATTTACAGTGGCCAGTTGGGGCAGCTTCCATGTTAGTTGAGTGTACTTGGATGTTCGGCCGAGTTAGCCAGTGCTTAGCCGTCCTGACCCACTAATTATATGAATAACAGGGCTACGTCCAAGACTTGTGGGACAGGGTCATAGCTTAGGTTGCCGACAACATACTAACTTGACCAAACACCCAAGATGGTTGCAACATGATCATTGGGATGTAGCTGGGCATATTGGAAGCAAGGATATGATATTCCTATTGCAGAGATGCAAAGGGAAGCCACCCAATTTCCGGATGTCCACTGGGTGTTGGCATGAGTTCTTGTGATTTCCACGGGATCTGCTGACTGAATTTGTCTTTACAAGGGGAATCAGGGCTTTCCTTGAGCCGATTCCATTGCGTTCCTGTCTGAAAAGTGCTCTGGGCGCTTGGCGATTGGGGTTGGCGCTTCGCAAATCCCAAGGAGGCTTTAGGACTCATGGCCAACTGGACTCATATTCTGTGTGTTTTGCGTTCGACGGCCAGACACAACCTTGATGGAGTTTCCTTTTGGAAGGGTTCGAAGTGGAAGTCTGCGAGACGCCTCTTGCCGTCCTCTTGTGTTTGTTGGGTAGTAAGCTGTTTTTCTACCACCTCCATTTGCTTAATAATATGTTTGATTTTCCCTTGTTGGTCTTAAATGGAATTCATCACTACTGAATTTTAATGTATTCTATATTTGTTTCCTGGGGCCTGAACCAAATGGCAGCTGTTTGATTGTTGCTTGGTGCGGGGAACTCACGGGCCAGGAGTAAGTGAGAGCGAGCGTGGAATCGGCGAAGCACATGGAATCAGCAAGCAGTGGATCCCTGAAAAACCGAGAATGTGCTTCTCTAGGTCCCTTTTTTGCGGGGAAGGCTACTAAAATAGACTACAGAAAAAAAGGGTACCCTTTTTCTAAGCTCTCTACTGGAGGACCGAGTTCTTTTGATAGCTCCTCTTTTGGGGTGGTCTAAAGTTCAGCGAAAAAACAAAAGAAGGTATAGCTAAAGAGAGTAAAAGCCGCCAGTCTGCAGAGCTTTGTAGAACCCCTTGATGATTTTATGATCTTATGTCGATTATGGAATGCCTTTATTTACATGTTCATAGTTCTTTTACTTGAGGATTTCGCAGAGCCCTCTTGAGAGATTGGCTTCGTGCAAGCATTTCCCTCACATACTTTTGCTTACCACTCAGCCCTTGGTCGTTCGCACTTATCCCTGGCAGCTTTGCAAAAGTTGCATTGAAAAACCGCAGTCCATTACCCTCCGGCGTTTTCCCCTGAAATGGAATGAAAGGGGAATTGACCGTTTTGAGGGTTCCTCGCTTTGCGACAAACCTACAAACTCGGAAAGGCTGCCTTGGACCATGACCATAGTGTGAAAAGTGTAAGGCCAGGGAGCAGACTCGGCTGCGATTAATTAATTGGACCTTCAGGCCTTTGTTAGGGGACCACGTTCAATGAGAGTCTTTCACTTTGCGAACCAATGTTGGGGAATCCATTTTGCGGATTTTCCACCAGCCTGTCAGCTTTTAGCTGTGAGGCAAAGCAATCATCCAGAGAAGTGGAGACTTTGGGAATGTCAAGCAGCCCGTCAAATAGGGATTTAATGGCTTCGTTCGGGTAAGGTTGTCTCCAATGCCAACCTTGAGAGGTTCATTGTTTCCTAATGTTGCACAAAAAAGGCGAGAAAGAACGCTTTCAACAGTGTCCGCCAAACGTTAAAACGAGCATTGCATTGAACATGCTTTTAATGCTATTCCAAACTTGTTAACCCACCCAACACAGACAGGTTCCAAACTTAAAACGGCAATAGTCCTGCGTTTGTTTTGGATTGACCCGACTCATTAGGCCCACAGGCGCTCGCGCCCGTGGTCGCGATTTAGGCCCACACCTTCCTGAAGACGGGCAGCCCCTTGGACGGGGACCCGGACGAGACGCCCTTTACCTACGCACTGGTGCTGCAGCAGTTTGAAGCTAAGCGCAAGCGATCGCCGCTTTTTGGTGGTTGGTTGTTGATTAAACTAACTCTCAGTTGTGCTGCTTCCCATGAATTTGGGCGTAGTTGAGAGATTTCTTTTGCCGGCTTATTTGGAGCATCCGGTTGCTTGTAAAGCAGGTTGTTGCTGGATGTATCCTGTGCGGAACCATGACAGGCTTGTGACAGGAAAGAGTAAGGGCCGGGGTGATTTCGCTGCCGTCAGCAAACCAGGCCGCATGCACCAAAACCAAACAGGTCCTTTTTGGGAATCCCTTCACACATCCCCCCCATTTTGCGATTTTACAGGAAATTGCAACAGGATGAATATCCGCCCTCCATCCATGGAAGCTGAGAATCGGAGGGTTTTGGGGGAAAGCCCCCTTTCGTCCCCTTCCATTGTTGGAAAGAGGGTATGGTTGTTGGTAAGGATTCAACATGATTCAATTTTTGCTGGAAAGAGACAACCTCAGCACCAGGCCCCTGTTTGATTGCAGGGACTTCCAGCCGGTTTTTTCCCGCCTCCAATATGGGGCCCCCCTCTCTCTACCCCACCGGGCCACCGATCTCAGGACCTCGCCATCCAGATGCTGGGCCGCATCAGCGAGCGCGAGGACAGCACCCCTTTTTGATCATTTGTTTTTGTTCGTGGAACTGCGGATCTTCGGCTGCTAATGTTTTTGGTGCTTCCAGGCACCAAATATATTTCAACTGCTTGGCTTGACCTGTTTGTCCCAACCGCAAAAAACAAGACAACATTTTGCAGTCAGATCCGTTTGACCAAGCCGTAGAAGGTAGCATGTTGCTTGGTTTTTCTCTAAGTTTAGTCATGGTTTCCTCCGTTTCTGTTACTTACTATATTGGCTTGCCTTGAAGCACCGGTTGGTCGAATGGCATTGATGGAAATGGACGAAGTCTTACAACTTCGAGGTTAAGATTGCTTTTGGTGGATGACAATAAACCCTTGTGGTGCACATGACGATGTCCAAGCTGTAGCCTTTTTTTGTCAAGTTCTGTGCACCCCAAAAAAGCCCGACGTGGGACCTTCGGGCATCCCCGCAAGTTGGTTCTTCGATGTTGGTGGCGCCTGTCTTTTGTTAGTGCGGCGTGTTGGTTTTGTCCGCGTGTTGGCCTGTTTTCGTGGGTGTTTGGCATGGTTTGTTTGTTCTGTTCATGTCTTGTTTTGTTGTTTGATGTTTTGTCGGCTACTTTGGATATGTTCTGATGGCATATTGTGGCCTCTTCTGGCAGTGACAGGTGGGTTTGGTTGTTTGGTGGCCGCGCAAGCCCATCACCCCCCCCCCCATTTCCCTGAGTTCCTGGGCTTCTGAGTTGAGTGGTGCAGGGGTTCTCTCTTCCAGGGCTTCAAGCCTTGGCCATGCTGACATTATGTTCTTTTGGGGTGTTTGAAGGGGGTAATACAGCTGGACCCCAGCGAAGTGGTGGGCGCATAGAAACTCAACCGCCTGTCAGCCCCAGCACGGGCGGCGTGGGTGAAGGATTAGGGCACTTGGCATCTTGCTGAAAAAGTCGGGAATCTTTGCCATAGGCTGTCCAGTCTGGCAAGTGTCTGTGCTTTTTTTAGTGGGGGATCCTTTGGTGTGCATCATGGGCTAGGTCCCCAACTGCGTGTGTGTGTGTGTGTGTCCATTTACCCTTTTTGGGGGGAGGGTTCCTCTACTACAATACACTACAGCAAAACGGGTACCTCTCTACTGGAGGACCTAGTGGGTTAATTTCCACCAACCACTCTTGCAGGAGTTCCCCCATAGGAGCTTGCCAGACGGGAATCCCCTCTGTTCGGTTTTCGGCGAGGAGCAGGAGAAGTTGGTGGATGCCTTGCAAGCGCGCTACACCCTGGAGACCGCCTTTAGGGCTCAGGCGCGGGGCGCGACGTGTTTTTTTTTCTCCCAACAGCTGAAAGCTTTGGGGTCTCAGCCCACATAGGCTCCGGGGTGGTCCGGGGCGGGCCTGAGATAAGGTTCCACGAGGGTTCCACCAGGTCCACGGTTCCTCAAGGTTCTGCGAGGGCTGCGGGGTGGTGTGAGCACACGCATGCTGTTGGGGATATCACCTATTTATTTATGTTTAACCAGTAAAAGAACACGGCGTGGGGTGGGGTGGGGGCAGGATACTTAGCTGGCTTGGTTGGATTTGTTTAAATCGCAAGACCCAAGCTTAACAGTAAAGCGACATGAATTTCATTGATAACTGTCTAAAACAAATCATGGTTGTAACCCACTTACCATGGTTGTAAGTCCTCCAAGTCAGTGTATCATAATTATGCTCACCAACCAAGAACTACCCTGACCATTGAAGTATCATTTGGCACTGGAAGGCGTCGCTGTGGTTGGCAACCGCCCTGTTGAGCCCTCTGTAAACCTGCAGAAGTGGGGTAACTAACCAGCGATCATCCCCAGAACATCTAATCTGAAAATTGTAAATCGCATTTTTGGGGCGATTTAGACATCACCTTGTGGAAAAAGCCAGTGCGAAGGTGGGTTGAACACGTCCTATGCCTTTTTTCCCCCTGGGATGCGACAATCGCCAAAGCAAATCAGCAGGGTTGCTCCGCACAACGACCGAGCTGATGCTCAATATCCTTCCGTTTTTGGTGTGCTTTGGATCTGGAAAATGATCCATCCCAAGTGTGGCTACTCGTCTTCCATTTGCTTAAGAGTATTATTAATTTATCCTGTTGCTTGTACCGGGAGTCTGTATGTTTGTTTTTCCAGGGGGCTTGAGCAAATGGATGTCGCAAGACGCGAACTTGCGTCCCCGTTGTTTGCCTCTGGCCAAATGTCACCCCAAACCGGTGACAGGGTCTTTGGAGCCCTGGGAGAAAAAACACCAGCACCCTTCTCGGCATGGCCAATGTGGGAAATCTGAGCTGACCTCAAGGCGTAGAGTGGATTCCAACCAATCGTATCATGAGACCTTGGGTTAACTATCACTTTGCTCATGCAGATGTTTGGAGCTTCAAAACCCATCCAAAAAGGACAAAACACGTCTTGTATTAGGGCGATCACTTATTTGCTCATCAAAACCATCAAAAAAGGGAAAAAGACAGATCTCTTGTATTCGAAAAAAAGACAGACTTCTTGTATTCCAGAGATCCTGACCTGCCCATCGTGAAGTGATGCTTCGCTTATCTCTTCAGGCCAACGAGGCAAATGTACCCATGTGCATCATCAAGGAGACG